GGCGTTATGGACTCGCATGGTTTCGAAGAATTGGTCGGATCAGGCGTTCGAGAGCATCATACCTTGGTTTGCGATGGCCATAGTTGCGACGGTTGTTCGCAATTGATGTTTTGTGATGACTATAGATGGTTATCATCGAATCCCTGGCTTAGCTTAGGGATACAAGGGGCGAGACGATAGGAAGTCTTGGCCTGAAGGTGGAGTTCGAAGCATCGAACGTGTCTGGCTGCAAGAGAAAGGTCCCCGTGTTGGAGCAGAAGACCGACGCTACAACACAAGGTCGAGACCCAAGAGAGACGGGCGTTAATCACAGAGCATTTGCAGGCGAGGCTTCTCAGTCAAGTCAAATCATTGCGAATCCGACGAATAGTCTCATCCCTCCCCTCCCCTGATTAATGAGACATGTTCGCTTAGAGAGTTATGATGCGAGCTAGTCTTGCTACTTACCGATGAAATAATAATATTGCCTTCTACTGGTCATTTTGACATGTCTAATCTCATCTCGTGGTGCCTTTTGATAGGAATATATTCGCCTCTCCCCTTTGTCTTCCTCAACTTAAGCAGCGTTTTTCCCTTTTTTATTATTATTCCTTTTGCGCCTCTTGTGTAACCAGAACCACAACCGCAACCGCAAACACAGACGTAAACGCCTATCCATCTACGACCTAGGCTAAGTAACACGAACCAAACTCTGCATGCAGGCGGATGGAACTAATCCTGACCGCTTCGCAAACAAAACCACGCCACTAGTTTAGGGTATGTAGTTGTTGATGTGTCGTATTAAGCTTCATTGCCTCCGGTCCGAAGCAAGCTACGAACTATAGTACTTTACCTGGGTTAGGTAGGTAGGTACGATAGCTATACCGAATTAGAATGGAGAATGGAGGGGCATGCGAGACGAAAGAACTATAGTATGTAGTATTGGAATCGATCGCATAGTACTTCCGGGCGCTGGCGCGGGCTGCGTGTTTTTTATATTTATTTTTCTCTGGCGTTGCGCCTATGTATCGTTACCTAGGTAGGTATGCTTAGCATATTATTACCCTACTCTATCCTATCCTACCCTGACCATCATCGTCGTCGTCGTCATCATCATCATCATCATCATCCGCAGACGTGCTTGCTAACGTAGTATCTGTCTGAAGGTTGTATTTGTTTGTTCTGTATAGGTGGGAAGTGGTAGAGGTAGGTATGTATATGGAAGCAAGGTAAGGGAAGATAAATTAGGTTAGGGTACCTAAGGTATCCATCCATCCTTGTTCGGTCGCGCGGTACAAAGCGTAAGTGCAAGCCCGAAGGAAAAGGGCATATGGAATATGGCATAGATAGGTAGTTAGGTAGCTAATGCTGCGAAGTGCCAAGACCGCAAGTGATTACGGGATCTGCCCATTATTAATTCTCATCCTCTCCGTCTTCCCGGTCCTAGTTGTGACACCCAACTAGGTAGTAATAACTAATTGACCTAGTATCATCGCCTGCTATTGAGTCTGATAATATTCTTACATACATATAGATAGATAGACATGCCTCTTGATTCATCCACGTACCTACGTATCTCCTATGAGATTGTAGAGAAGGAGGCAAAAGTAGATAAAAGTGAGTAAGCATTTCGTCACTGCAGTGATATATACCCACGTGCCGCGTTGTGTTATACGCTCTTAAACCTAATAGGGGAATGGAGGGTTACCTCGAGCGCGTCTAGGTCGATTACAGTAAAGAGCGCCGTTCTTGTGTAACGACGGCTAAGCTCTCAAGAGTAAGAGTTGCCCATATCGTGCTCCTATTTTTGTGACGAGGCGGAAACGGATTAGCGTATGGTATTACATCAGCTGAACGGGATACCTAATTGTATACACATTCTCGTAGGGATGATCGCCGATGGGATAGGATAGGATAGGATGGGATGGGATGGGGTGTTGGTTACTTAGATCCACACTCGTGGCTGAGAGCTGTCTGCTGATCGTATCCCTGACCTGTGCTATCAATGTAGAACAGGTAAAGCACTTCCGACGACATGGCGTAGATCACTGCTTTACTACACACCACATTGTGTAAAGTATACATATGACAGCTGTCATAGTACGACGAGTAAAAGTTGTGACAAGAAAAAAGGAAAATCAAAACATACCTTTATGTAATCATGCCCCTTCTCCTGATACTCTGCCTTGGTCACTAAAGATGATTTCCAGCTGGATGTTCCGACCCATTGAGCGGCACCCTTCCAAGCGTCAAGTATTGCGTCGCCGGCGCGACGAATCTTAAGCGGCGAGTTTATGGGGAGTAACGGGGTTAAGCCCTGGCGGAGACGGTCGTCAAAGCCCTCGAAGATCGTGTTGCCACCAGTTAAGAAGATGTCATTTAGGAAGTCATTCCGATTTAGACCCGGTATACCCCCGAGTCGTTGTGTAAGTATATCGCCCGCGATCTCGACAAGCCCCGCCTGGTCGACCCCAGCGATGGAAGGTTGGAAGACAACCTCCGGTACTCGTATACGCTCGACGTTGAGATGTATCTGGTGGATTTCCGCCTGGGAGGAAGGATTGAAGGGTCGCGGTCCACGCATAAACGCATGTAGAAGACTTTTGTTCCAATCGTTCTGCGCCTCCCACGTGTGTTCATGTGTGAATCCCTCATCGTAACGAAGCAGGTCTTCTTCGAGTGTTTTGAGAGTTCCTTCAAGATCCTCTTCACCCTCTTCGTCATCACTACCACCTTCGCCTACCTGAATTTGCCTGTACACGCCCCAGTCGTCATCGTTCGCGCCAAAGTTATCGTCGTCGTTACCGCGTCGGCGCTTCCCTCGAGGATTATCAGAAGCGAGATTTGCAATTGACTTCATACGGATCTGAGAAGCTAAGGATTTGCGGTTTCCTAGGTCAGCCTTTAGGCGATCCCGCTCCTTCATCTTCTGCAACGTAAGATTTCGGGCCACGCGTTTCTCTTCTAGCCATCCCTCTAGATCGTTCTCTCGGCGTTCTCTGTCTGCCCGCTCTTCCTCTGCAACACGCGCTTTTTCGGCTTCCTTCTCGGCTTTAGCACGCGCCCGTGCTTCGTGATTCGATTTCAGAAGACGCTGGTGTCGTTTCGCCTTTAGACTAGCCTCGTCAAGCTGGTCGTCGGGTACTTCGAGAAGGCTGAAGTCGGGTGCTTCCTGCTCCTCCTCAGGATCGCCACCCACATCCTTCGTCCGGGCGCGCTTGATCGACTTGTCTAATTCCTTGATAGTGCGTTCAAGGTGTTGCTCATCTTTCATATCTTCTGCATCAAGAAGGCGTTTTATATCCTTCTTATTTGCATTATTAATCTTCTCCTGTAGCTTCTTGTAATATTCTAGTTCCTGCTCCTTTCGCATTAGTTTCTCTAGGCGCATTTTAGCTGCTTGTTCCTGCAACCGTCGCCCGCTCTCTTTCTTTCGCTCGGCTATCCGAGCGAGCTCTTCCTCGCTCTTCTGAACTATCACCTCTTCTGTAAACGGGTACTGAATCACAATATCTCGGTCTTCTAATCCTGTCCAATCTAGGTACGACCGTAGTTCTTCGTCATATGATTTAGATATATAACAGTGATCCTTTATCATATGCTCGGTCTGTGATGCGTTGAGTTTCCCTGGGAATGATGGATATTTAAGGCGAATGAGTTTGAGTAAGTATTCCGCGGCGTGCCACCCTCCCCAATTGAGTCGAATAGCTTGAGCTAGCATGGCTTTCGAGTCGAAAACGGGAATGACATGTGTAGAGCTATAAGAGGAAGAGACAACCAATCCCGTCTGTCCCTTATTGTAGCGATAGGAAAAGAGAGAGTCGATACCCGTAGCCAGTGAAGGGGCCTGGTAACATTCAAATATGATTTCGTTCATAGCTATGCTACGTTAGCCGGTTACAAACTAGAATCAATTTGGGGGTAACACACATTTTCGCGAATAGGGCAAATTTGCTACTGCCTCAGTCATGACGATGGGTACGTCGACAGCTCCATCGGCGTTGTTCATGCCCAACTTTAGAAAGGTCCAGTCGAGTATGTGTTCTTCTACATCCCAGTTGCTGACGATGCCAGTTCCAGCTTCAAAAGCGTTTCTGATATGCCCTCGAGCTGTCGTGTCGGAGTAACAGTCGTAGCCAGCGAACGAATAGGTCTTGCCCAGCTTTCTGTCTCTGTACTTGGCCATGATAGGTGGGATACTGAATCTCGGGTTCGACTCGAACGACCACCCAGCTCTAACGGCGGATGAGCCTGTAACGACAAGTCCATATTAGCAGATTGATAGTATAAAAGATATTTTGAGGGCGCACCATTGTCGATGACGATCGCGACGCTGCCAGGAGGTTTTGCTAGAGCCTCCTCGCGACCATCTGGCTGTGGAGAAGTAGGCTTCTCGAACTTCGTTTCCTTTACATTGTAAATCCGAGCCGGAGGATAAGTCTTTTCCTGTCGCACAGGAAGCGCCGGAAGGTCGATCGCTGACGGCGCCATGTTATTGGAATACGCAACTTTGGTATTTATAGAGAGCTAACGTATCGCATGTTAAAGTTATTGTGGATGATATGATGGCGTATCGAAAATAGTCTTTGGGATTGAGGGTGGTTTCCTCTAGGTTAGAGGGTTAGAATACATGTAGGTAATGAGATGTAAAGTTTAATCTTGCGGTACGAAAGGTGAATGAAATGTAAAATTGTAAAATTGTTGTATGTACCTGGATTCTCTTGTTCGAAGGTACGAGGCTGACAAGTAAAGATACCGCTAAACAGCTGCCCTTGCTTCCATCGGAGGTTCGTACCTTAGGTACCGTGCAGCTAAAGCTTAGCTGCTTCTCGGTAGTCCATTCGATAAGATGCTCGATAAGAATTGGTGGGGCTCACGAATAAGGCTGTTGTAACTCTTACGTACCATGAATATCGCGTCTTTACGAATACTCGCGTTGTTACTTGCGTAGGGGAATTTACCTAGGTTACGGGTGTTTTCACTTTTGTTCTTTGTGAGTGCTTTTTATTATACGGGCCTTGTCGGGTAATATGCTATGAGGGCTTTTATTATTAGGAGTTTTAAGCTCGATAACTACCTAGTCAGTTTATGAGTATAACATCGAGTCTCCCTATAAGTAGACAGAAAGCTTCTTATGTAATACAGATATCTTGCTCGAGTTCATAGCAGCATATCAATATAACCCGCTAAAAACATTCCTCTCATGAAGGCTCTTTCAAATTATCCGTAGCTACACCATAGTTTAGAATTTATAACTAACTCCAACATGCAATTAGTTGGGATATAACCTACCTTCTAGATGAAAGAGCACGTTGGACTGGTAGTTCTTGAACATCTGAGCGACGAGCTCAATATTCATATTCTGGATGTTGATCTCCTGAAGGCTCTTGTTCATGACGACGATGGACTCGTTGAGTTTCTCCTATAAACATTGTATAAGTCGTTTGGGCTTGTTAATTAGGGGCGGGGCTCGAGAGCTATGCCACTTACAACGTTGGTGATGATACGGGATAGCAGAAGATTCTGCTGATGCTCGTGAGGGCTCTCCTGTATTTATCTATTAGAATCTTTTGTAATTAATTAGGTTGGGCAATATGCATGATACCATTTTATTCAGCCTTGGGTTTTGACTTGCATCAATGTGGAAATCGGGTACCTAGTGTTGAACGAATTGTTTATTTAGTGAAGTGTAAATGGAACGGATACGAAGTACATACCTAGGTACATAAGTGACGACAGGGCGATGACCCGGGCTGAACTGAAATTATGTACGTAGGTACCTAGGTAGCTGTCACCCTTCTACGTGAGCAAACCCAGGCGCCTCAAAGAATTTAATCCACAAAGCCTAAGACTCAGCAAGCAACAACCTCGAATCTTAAAAACATCACTAGAGTTATCGAACGACCCATCGTATTTATCCTTCGCACCTCTTATCCGCAACACTTATCTATCTGCACGAACGCCAAACCAACAATGGCCGCTCCCACAGAAGCCCAGGTTGCCCATCAAGAGCTGATCGACAAGCTTGATATCCATTCCATCCACAAGAGCTTCCGCAACCCTCACTGGCGACCAAACCAGCGGCGCAATAAGAACATCAAGACCATCATAAGCGATGCCTCGCGCAAGGAAGCTTCTGTAATCGTCACGCCCCAAGACAACAGCGGCACCGCCACTCCCGCACAAGGAGATGGTGACGGCCTCTCTACCAGCGGTTCTTCGACGCCCGCTCAGCAGACGGCCAGTGGTAACAACTCGAACCTGCAGCCGAACCTCGCCCAAGCCTCGCGTAGTTTATCGAAACTTGTATTAGAGAAGAGCCTGCGGCCCAATGGCGCTGGTGGTGCACCCGTCTCGGCGGCGCCCAGCGCGACTTACACAAACATCGAGTCAGCCCCTTCGCTCGCGCACACGAAACGGTACTGCGATATCACCGGTCTTCCTGCCCCTTACCTCGACCCGAAGAGCCGGTTACGGTATCACAGCAAGGAGGTGTTCGGCTTCATTCGCACTCTACCTCAGAGCGTAGCGGAGCAGTATTTAGAGGCAAGAGGCGCGCATACAATTCTGAAATGAAGGGGAATTGTCAATATGAGAGGTGCACGGGAAATTTTACTACGCAGTGCAACAATAGTGTCATTTTGGCTTTGCTATATCTATTCCGACCATCGACGCATTAAAACGGTCGGCTTCTTATATGAAGCTTAAGAAGAGGAGGCTAAGGTATAGAAATATTTATATTGTATGAGAGGTCACTGCGTAAGAAGTGGTAATTACAATATGGAAATGTCCGGCCAACAAAGTCAAGCCTATCCTATGCATCAGTCACCTCTCGGCGACGGATGGCAGGTTACGCTCCGGCTTAATCGTGATCGGGAAAATGAGATTTTGTTCTCCGCCTGTGACTGACGGGTACCGAGATCGAATGGAGGAGGATCAATCTCAGTGACCATAGCTTGTGAGCTAAGGACGCCGCGGCAGGATATCATATCTAGGATACCGTAGTGATCTGTTAAGCAAGGGCTTTTCAGATGCTGGTTTGCCAGTGCATAATTGGTAAAGGCATATATATAACCAGTCTGATTCTCTTACCATTTGTTCTTACCGTGAATATCCTTACCCTTACTGGGCCTTGCTTTAATACGGCTTTGAATGACTGAATGGTCACACCCAGAACGAGCCAGGGTATGATAAATGTATTGGAACTTTACTTATTCATGCCGGATTGGTGGTGTGCTGGATTGTTATCATAGCTATCCCGGGGAAGATTTGTGAAAATATGTAACTCGGTAAAAGACAGAAGAGCACCAAGATTCCCTTATCGATTTTAAATTAGGATCCTCCCATTGGCAGCTGCTAGCCAACTGCTAGATATATTATACGGCTGTTATCGCCCGGGGTGCGAGGTACATAGGTAGTACCTACATGTAGGTCCTGTTTCAATTCCGCGATTCGTGTCCCGTCCACCGTCCGCCGTCCGCCGTCCCCAGACGCATCCAATGTAGCTTTACCTAAACCAAACGAATTATTTCCCTTACGAAATAGAAAACCCACGACACGACATTGAAAGGCCCGAACCTTTGATATACCAATTACGCCCGCGCTCCCTCGAACAATACGAATAGGTACTCGTCATTAAGTCTGCTGCTCCATACATGCCTCAGTACAGAGCTTGAAGCTTACGGAGCTCCCTTTTCTCCATTTATACCTACATATATATATACGTCACGCCTTATTAGACGGCCGACTCCAAGATGCCCACCATGTGGTTATCAGACGCCCAAAGTAAGACCGGACCTGCAAAGATCCTAAGTGTTGAATTAGGTACAATGCCTATATAGGACCACATGGACTAACCATTGAGACTGCGCGCAGAAATCGGGGTCGCCTTCTGCTCTGGTGGTACGTGGTAATCAATCTAGCATGCTCATGCTCATGCTCATGCTCTTGCGCCCGCGTGTCTGTATGCCTTACAAGGTACCTACGTTTACGTGCGCGAGTGTATGGCTACCTATGTTTTCCCCGGCAGCTGATGTGGTCTATTTGTTCCTACAGGTGGCTTCTTCCTGATTGGAGGTGTCATGCTGTTCTTTGATCGAGCCATGTAAGTTGTGTCCACGCGCCGGCCTTGCGCATAGATACCTAGATATCCTTCGTACCATCGATCAAGTATACTAATGCGCGAATACACAGGCTTGCGATGGGCAATGTACGCCACTCATTTCCTTGACACGAGCATTTACTCCCCCCTCCGAGCCCTGTACTCGAGTACCCCATTGCTATTCGCCTCTAACGATTCTAGATCCTCTTCCTAATCGGCTTAACGATCATCATCGGTCCACAGAAGACACTACTCTTCTTCGCGCGGAAGCAGAAAGCTAAGGGCACCGCGGCCTTTTTCTTAGGATTAACGCTAATCCTTATGCGATGGGCGCTGATTGGGTTCTGCGTTGAATTATACGGCATCGTGGTGCTGTTCGGAGACTTCCTCGGTACGATTGCGAGTTTTGCACGAAACGCCCCAATTGTCGGTCCTTATATTGGCCTCGTTATCGATCGTGTCCCAGGCTTTGGAGGCCTACGGAATGCTGAGTTACCTGTTTGAAAGGGGCAAGCCCCTTTTTACCTACCTCTTACCCCTAATTACGGCCCGGACTATACACTCACCTCCTTATTTCACGCCACCAACGCCACCAGGGATGGTCTAATTACGATTTTAAACGCCATGACATTTTCGGATCACATGAAAAGGCGTTAAGACGGAAATGGGAGGATCTGTATGATATTGTGTATATGATAGTATAGAGGATTTTGGGGGACAGTACCAAACTAGGTTCGGGGATACCCAGAAGCAAATTAGAAGATATAATAAGCCTGCAAGGTTGTGAAAAGAAAAATTTGCCACGAGCAGAAAGCGTTGTATAACTTTTCTACATGTGAAGAGAAAAAGGCCATTGTCATTTGCGCCTATGCAGAATCTAGGGGGGAACGGCCCGGGGGATGGTTGCCTCGAAGCGACAAGACAGCCTGAGCCGTCCATCGAGTATGTCATCAACAGAAAATTGCTAAGCTCTCTCTCGCTCTGCAGTCCCAAAGTATGCTCCCAGTCGGTCTGGGACATCCACTCTCACACGATATCTACCACTCCTCGACCCACACCCGCTCTAGTATCCGGCCTTGATGAGATAGTCGGCCAACGCCTCGACAGTCTGGGTCGAGTTTCCAGTTACGTGGGCCTCGCCGTAGTGGCCAACTATAATGGCCTGCTTTGTCTTGACAATGACGACACCCGTTCGGCCCTATGCGGTTTTATATTTTAGTCAACAACCACTTCTAGATCGCCGATAAGACGGAAGAGGAATCATTTCTTGTTAACGCACCTGCCGTCCGTAGACACTCCGATCCTCAATCCGGAAGGCAACGTATCGCTCGCCCGCAACGTAGACACCATCTGCTTGGGCCTTCTCAACGGCGCCGGCACTTTGGGTTACGATGTTGGCGATGGTTTTCATTTCCTCAGGCTTAATCTATAATTGCAAGACTTATATCAGCTAAGATCCCTCTCTTATATATGAATAGTGAAATATCGTGCGTCCGCGTGCTCGATACTATGCTCGTATCTAGTTTGCGACTAAGGCGAGGAGGGATGAATAAAAGACAGGGGTCATCAAAAATACCGTAAATCCGCTCGAAGTAGCCCAAACGCTGTCACCCGCAACACTAATGATAGCAGCCTTGTCGATATGGCCGCTGCCGACCAGGCTGTCGTTACGAAGGAGTGGTCAGTACATGATGGCGTGTAGCTACGACGCTGCCGGGTCGCGGGAGATGATAATTACCTGGAGTCAACATAGGCTATGACGAAGAATCAGCCCTGTCCCCTAACAAAGGTGGGGTTGAAAGATAGTTACGGGTTACGGGAGGAGGGGGGATTTGTTTACCTTGCCACGACATGGTTGCTAGACTTTATTATTTGTCTGTCTGGGTGTGCAGATGACTTCAAAAGCAAAAGGAGTAGGAGGAAGAGAGAAAGGATGAATTATGGCGAAGTTGGCGTGTTGGCGTGTTTAGGGAAGATTCAGTCTAAAGCTTCAGATGTCAAAGGGGAAAAAAGAATAGGGATGCGCGGTCTGATGAATGAGGGGCTGTTTTTTTTTCGGGGTTGGATTATCCTAGGTACCATCTGATTGCTGCCCGCCAACCCACTGCCAGCCCATTGCCCAGGTGTCAGCCCACCCTTGCTTGGATTTGCGCTGGGGCGGTGCGCTAACTGCTACCTAACTGCTACATAACTGCTAACTGCTAACTGCTAACTGCTAACTGAGTGGCAGGTCTTTTTCAGGTCCTATTCCTCCCCGCCCTTTGGCCTAATAAAATTCCACCTAGCAATTCGCAATTTGTCAAGCCACACGCAACATCGATAATGATAACCCATCACCCCGCCGTCGTACATCGGCCCCCAATGGGAAAGAGAACCGAGGTCCTCGATATTATGTACTTACCTAGCTAAAGTGATAGTGATGTATGATGTATTCCTACCGGGACATTACACATTACAAACTCAACTCTTTTCATGACCGCGTATCACACGAAACAAAAACATTTATGCAAGATAAATAGCGCATATTCGTGTAATCGAGATCTTGTAAAACTATTTATCTATATGAGACAGCTCATCGTCTCATCGTCTCACCGTCAATCAGACTATTGTCATCTTTCCATGGTTCCCCAATCGTGAAATCAACTCTACATACAATATAATATACACCGACATGTTCATCTCGACAAAGTTCGTCGGCCGAGTGGAAAATATCGTCTCCAGTCCAAAAAAGACACAATTTCTAATATCCTCTTCGAACCCACTATCCCTCCTACATAGGTATTGGTCTAAACGCCAGCGGTGTATCCCCTGCCAGATAGTTTGGCGCATGAAGACGATCCGACACTCTCTGTCAGACCCATTCGCTCAACATGTTATTCACCGCCTTCGTTACCCATTTGGTTCTCGCGGCCGTGAACTTTGTGTCTTTTAATAGAAGACGGTAGGAATAACGTCATTGTTATGTTATATATTTTATATCATAGGAAATCTGCCCTCTCTTGTGTAATGTGTAATATGTATGCATCATCAAATCAGGGTAGGCCTAGGAGGATGACTAAAGAACTCCTAAAGGACTCCTGGTAACCGTAGCATATGATATACGACTCTACTAAATACCCATGCTCTCCCTATTTAGCTCGAAACATTTACCGTGGCTACCATATTAATATTTCTTAGATAGCTAGCTCATAACGCGATGTCTTGTAACTATACAATGATTATAAAGTAATATGTAGGTTGGCCTTGAGGCTATAAGTTGTAAATCTGCAGATTATCGACCTGTTTCAATTTTATCAGCACATGGCGCTACGAGCCCAGCACCTCAGAGCTATTAAAAATATATAGAATCCAAGAGTAGTATAGCTACTTACCATTCGCAATGAAAGCCACCTCGTCGCGGATTTTAAAATGAATGGTGATAGGACGTATAGGAAATCATATACGCTTTACATAGATATGACATGCCGAAAAAGTCTTGGACGTACAATTTCGAGTCTCACAAGCATACATAGGTACCTATCTATAGATAAGTAGGTATTTAACTTATTCAATACCAATTTAGTATTCATGTTGAGTTAAAGCCGTTTTGGCTTCGTTGACACATATTCGTATGGAGTCATAAGCTCTTAGGAAGTCTCTATCAACGGCACGTGTGCTACCACCTATGGTATTTCTAATAACTCTTGTGGGCTATCTCTTCATTAGCTTAGGATAGACGGATTCGCCAAGCTTCCTCATGGGCTTAAGTGGCTCGACGGCCGCAACCTCCGTTCCGCCCCCCGAAGGAACCTTGATGCCGAGTTCAACCCTGTGAGCCGCGTCGACCATTTAAGCATTCGAACGGACAGCGATGCGACTTAGATCGTCTCGGTCGATCAACTATGTCGATCGCTAATGATCCAAGCCAGGTCGCCCGGGGTAATATCTCTATGCCGCCGCACTGACAGAGAGGATCGTAAATACTACCTCTTATAGAAGTAGAGATGGCTCGATGTAACTCTGAAAGCCGACTTCGATATCCCCTCAGAAGAAACCACCGCGCGTTTCGAAATAATACTTTATTTTTTAGAGTCCGACCTTAGCGTCGCCTCAAGTACCTGAGGTGATAATTACAAGGCTTAGTTGCGGCGCTGAAGATAAAATCTCCGGGAAAGTTACCGTGCTACGTGACATGATGGGAAGGATTACCCCGGGTCCGTCAGTTCTGTAAGGCGGGGCGGGGTGGACAGCACAGACTAAGGCCGGACTGGCATAGTTTTGCAGCTTCCATGTTTCAAAGACCGGGGTTTACCTTTTTAGGTCTCATGAAACTAGCAAGGAACTATGTATACATAAACCCCTTTTCTAACCTAACGATATTTAGCTTAGAGTCTAAACAAGTCGTACGCAATTTGCTCAACTCAACTTGCTCAAAGGGACTAATTTATTGAGCCAAGCTTGCTAAAGAATATCGAGACGATGTGTCAATTTATCGAACACCGACATTAAGTTGTGATACGTCGTTTAACTAGTGTCTAATATGAATATAGTCTCGCTGGCAATCGTTCATTTTACAACAACCGACATGCTCGAACATTCTTAGAAGTGAGATGTTCTGATTAGAACTTTATCTTAAATGAGCAGAAAGTTCCGGGGGTTGTTCCATTGCAGATGAACAGTTCCATTGGAAGATGCAGGTAAAAGGAATCTGGCAAGTTGGAAGTTGGACCAAGATTCCCTGCTGGTCGAACATGCTTCTCGTCCTATTAGATCGGAGAAGTACGACGGTAATATGCAGTCTTGTATCCAATGCACCGCTGCAAGTACGATGAAAGGAGCCTCCTTTTCATTTCCTAGTCTTGGCTATTCGGTGCCGTATCTGCTCCTCCACAAGAATTACACCGCATACTTTAATCAGCTTAGAGCCCCGACCCTCTAACTCGTTCGAGACTCTGTCGATTCTCCTTGTCTATCGAGCCATTGGGTGAAAACGGGGTCTAATTTGCCAAGGAAACGTTGCTTCAGAATATTCCTTGGTAATACGTACGCACCGCAAACGATACAACCCCGTATTCAAAAACTTCTCGAATGCTTCTGACAGACGCCGCGGTTGAATACCTGTCTAGCACAACTGCCTATTATGACACTCTGTATCAGCTCTTCTAGCCTAAGTAGTTCGGCTACGAATCAGCTTACTGGGCTTAAGATCTCGTCAATGTTGGTGCTGGCGTTTGATACACGACACCATCGCTAATTCTACCCTTTTCCCCTAGGATCCATTCCCGTCCTTCCAGGAAATACCCCGGTCGCCATCAAAAGACCCAGGGAGACAAGGGTCACCCTTGACGCCGTCCATAATGCATTCTGGAGCTGAATCCTAGGCGTTGATCACCCTCTTCAAAATAACCGTCCCATGATCCATTAACTTCAAACAGCCACCAATAACATCGATATTTTAGCATTATCTACATACATGGGAGATATGGAATTCCCCAGACCGCTATAGGTATCAGAACCGATGATTTATGGTGTGTGGTAGGTACTATGTCGGGAAATAACATCAATTCCCCTCCAGAGTCCGAGAGGATCAGCTGCTGGTGGCATAAGAAACTCGCACCGGGTTTCCTCCTACCCTCTGTTCAAACGGCCGACGACTCAAACGTCGACTCTTTTAAGAGTTTCCTTGAGTCCGTTTGAGTCCGTCTTTAGAATCTCCGTCTATAGAATCATCACAAATCAGTGCTTTTTTACTAGTCTCTTGGTAGGTATTCAAGGCTTATATCCTTAAAGTTTAAGGAGCCTGAATCACTCAGGGATCGTAGTTCTCGCCTATGTAACCTGGCTAGTGCCGTTACTAGACTACCAACGCCGATGGGGGCCATGCAAGTCCGGATGTGTTCGTGACGCACGTCCCCGACTACCCCGTTCTAGGAAGACTAGGTTGTGTATCAGATCTCGCCTTACCATAACTCTCTTATAATGATAGCAGTACGCGTTACCCGAACTTTTTTGCAACCACGAGTTTATGCTATCGTCCTCTACTTGCTACGCCGCTACCCGAAGTCAATATGTCACTGAGACCGAGCTCCTCTGGGGGCCCGAGTTCGAAGAGTTCAGCTAACAGCTTTAAGTATGACAAGAGAGTCTCTAGAGACGACTCTTTTATCAATCATAGAGCAGGTGCTGGAGCGGGATATAGGGTGTACGGTTTTACACCAAGGCCACTCCCTACTCCAGAGTCTAGTCCGCGGACATCACCGCCACAAAATAATATATATATTCCAACTATCAGGATGCCTACTCCCGAATCCATTAACGAGGTTTATCCTACGGAGATTGGCATGGCACTTGGGAGTCCTACGATGAATCCGGCGAATGGGAGCTTGCGAACACCTCAATCTATGACCAAGGCCTGGCAAGGGTCAACTGTGTCTCTGGTTTCACACGCATCTGGTGTTAGCACTGCTGATTCCCCAACAAAATCTCTGCGCAGGAAGCAGTCAGGAAAATGGAGGTTGTTCGGTATGTTTGGAAAGAAGTCGTCGGATCATCTACACTCAAAGACGAACGAGCAGAAAGGCACGCCCTTACCCGAACGGCCGGCGGATTTAGCATCCCGACCTTGGTATGACTCGAAAGTGGAGAGGAGTAACACTGTCGGCGCACGAAGAGCGCCAGGGCATAAGCCCGTTGTATCCAGGTCTCAAACAATGCCTTACCAGGGAGACAGCTCGGCGCAGGAGTCAAAGTTGACGCTGAGAGAAAGGAGTAAGGAAACGCACGGGAGAATACCGATAACGTTAGACAACAAACCGGCTCCAAGTGGCTCCCTATTAGATGTTGAAATCCCTCAGATTACGATGGAGAGATACAGCGTGATGTTTGGGAGCGTCTTACAGTCACAGCCTTCCTTATTAGCTCGACGGCAAGTTACCGTTCAGAAACTAAAAGGCCCAGATGAGGCTGCAGAAAATAATGGGGTAAGTTAACACAGGCCATTATTAGCTTCCACATTCTAATTCTTGTAATAGGGTAGGAAGCATCATGATGTCTCGAGAAGAGAGTCGTCCCCTGCGGGAATGTCACCATCACTTGCTTTATTTCCCCTGGCTCCTTCTAAGAAGCCAGCACAGGGATCTCATAGCTCGCCGTCGCGTTTGAGATCCAGCACCTCTCCAGCACAACTTCGGTCACCTTTGCAAGAAAGCTTTGATCACACTGCATCCCAGCAAAAGAAGCCGTCTAACGATGAACTAAACTCTTACCTTCGCAAAGGACCATCTGTCCATCGTTATCCACAGGAGAAACTCACCATTGCGACTCTAGCCAGAGCAAGGGAGCAACAGGCTGCCGCCAGGGAACATCAGTTCAGCCCCGAAACATCGAGTTTGATACTGGATTCCCCGACCGACCTGTCCTCTCCCGAGTTTGAGGTCGTCAAGTCGGAACCTCTACGGCCAAAAGCTTTATATCTGCAAGAACCCCAGTGGCAAATGATAACACCGCCAAACCCCACGCCCCCAACTACATCATCCTCATCAACGAGCGACAAAAGGCCACCTCCTTTCCTTGCGTCCCCTGCACACTCGCATCCAGGCCAGACATCCCAGGACAACGACGACGATGACGACGACGACGATGATATATTAGATAGCTCTAACATGAATCCCGTCGAACTATCGATCGCGAGGCAGATATCGATATCCAGACAGCAGCGAAAGATGCTGAAGCCCCTAAACCAGGCCTCGGTTAGGAAACAGCCGCCACCGGTCCCTAAGATTGCTATCGCACAGAACGAGAGACTCGCTGAGACGAAGACCGCAACGCCGACCTTGGTTGTCCCTGACGAAGAGCTGATAGCACAGTCTCCCCTAGCGTACCATCGGAAGAGCGAACGCGTCGTTTTGGACCAGGTGTAACGTGTTTCGGACTACCCAGATCGCATTTGTTTTTCATGTCTGTCCTTACGGCATTCCCTACTTTCAGCTTACCCTATAGGGAGTTACTTTGTCAAATTCGCATTTTTCACTTCTCTTCGACCCGGCGTTCGCAGCGCCTCGCCCATTGGATAGTTATCCATACTTAGCATTCGTATAGACAGGTTATAGGGTATTATTACGACGGGATTTTATTGATTGGCTTCTTTTTTTCTTCTTTTTCTTCTTTTTTTTCTTCTTCTGGCTCGGAATATACCCCTTGGAGGAAAATATAGTTACGGAAAGAGTCTGCGACTCGTTATTGTTATGCAGCTATATCGGCTATCTACTACTGGTTTACTATGTCGCCGAGGGGGAAAGAAAGGAGGACAGAAAGAAACGAGGGGAGGAGGGAGATGACCATAGATTAGGTGGGTTAGAGGACGCACGATGCGCCTTGATGGTAATCGTTTGACGCCCTACTTTGGACTGGAGCCGTTGAATGCAGATAGAAAGAAAGTCCTACTAGGAGTAGAAATAGGGGCAATTTGGAGTGATATCAAATTTCGTGGTAGTCAAAAATCTGAATCTAGTTCTTGGGTGGTTGGTTGGCTTAGAACAACACAACACACCTATGCCCCTATATAATACGCTCCATGATAAGCTCCATGTCGTATCGACGCGTCTGTCCATTCATATAGTATTATGCCAGCCCGTCTTTGTCGGTCGGGAATGTCTATGTAGCCACGTCTGCGTAATTCTCTCCGTTCCCTCTCAGCTCAGCCCATTCTCTTTCTACCTTGACGATATCCCCCCGGTCTGCCAACGAACGACTGCTCACTCATACTTTCTCGTTCACATAAGTGTTTGGGGTAGTAATGCCCATGGATATAGATAGACGAAATAAAATAATATCCATCCCCATACATAGTCTGCAACATACAAGTTCCATCACTATGCCGGGACGGAGGCACGCCAGGTCGCTTAACTAGTACCAGCCACAATAGCTAGGCAGCAAACAATAGTGATGGGGTGTCTACATGAGAACACAGCACGAGTTCTGCTTTTTCGCTTGTTCTACGGAGGTCAGCGTTTCACCGTACCCAATACGTAGAAGCAAAAAGGGGGCGGGGGCGGGGACGGGGACGGGGGGGCAGCAACAGGATAGAAAATGAAAACAGCGCAATGCAATGCAATGCAACAACATACGATAGAACATCTTGCTCTGGCTACTAAGCCCATCGCTCTTCGCGACAAGATCATCGATCTTCTCGCCGCGCTGGAGGACGCTCTCGATGGTCTTGTGCAGGGTGATCTTGGTCTCGTCGAGCTCGCGCTGGATCTTGAGGATGCTGTCGGCCTGGTGCGGGTCCTGGTACTTGGCCAAGTAGTCCTTGAGCTCGGGCATGGAGAGGGTCTGGCCGGCGGACCAGGACGAGCGCGGGTGCGCGGCGAGGAACTCGTCGACGACTTTGGATAGCAGCTGGTGCGCTACTAGGGCCGGGTACTGGTGGTCCGAGATGATGATGCCGCAGACGCCTTCGGTGCGCCCGTACGCGTGGAATGTGTAGTCTGTTGCCTGTTTAGCCGGGTTTGCTCGAAGCAGGTTATTTGTGTTCTCTCCGCTTTGTGTCGGGGGGGGAGGATGGTGATCGCACCTTGTTCCTCGACATCTTGTCGCTGCCCTGGCCTCGTTCGCTCTGCTACCGTCTTCGCGAACATAGTCATGAACTCGCCATAGCTAGATCAACATTAGTCAACCATCTCTTTCCTTGTACCCGTGTAGTAAGCGAAAAGGGGGACCGCAGGCGGGCTAATCGGAGTCGTACTTTTGACGGGTGAAGCGCGAGTAGGCGCTTAGCTCCTTCTCGGCGACTATCTCGACGCCCGGCTTGCTCTCGTTCTGGATGATCTATATAGTAAAGATACCTAGTTAGCTATCTGTTGGAACGTATGCAATTCATAGATATTTAGGTATGTTTCGTGGTCGGGAATCGAGGTTGGCGGTCGAGGCGCATATATACGTACTCCGATGTAATGCAGCTTCATGATGACAGATAGATAAGAGACGGTTGGATTCGGGAGAAATAGGTAGGACGGATATAGTAAGTTGTTGGTGGACTATTCTCTTCTTGATGGAAGGTTGGGTAGATTTGGGGGAGCGGTCTCAAAAAGAAGTTAGCCAAGTTTAGAAGTTTAGTTGGAAATGCAATGTGATATCAAGAAACTGTTAACATGAAAGTTGACATGGATCCAAAAGTGAAGTCGGTGTCACAGCCTTCGTCACATGTACTATGCATACCTATGCATACCGCTCTTGTACATAGGAGAACAATGTAGGAGTAACTTAGGTGGGGCCGTAGCGTCCGTAGCGGGGCTTTAGCTCTGGGGAACTAGCGCTATTAGAAGAAAGTCAGGGAAGTTTAGGTACTTCGATGCCTGAATCCTACATACCTATGTATGTACCTCCTATAGGAGATTCACTATTAGGTACCTACCTATCTTACCTAAGTAGCCTCAGCTAGTCATCGGCGTAACAGTCATCAAGAACCCGTTTGTATGTAATCAAACCGCTTATAAATAAATATTAAAAAATTTTAATATAAGAGACATCTAACAACTTATAGATCGATCTATAACCTAATTCCCTACGGATCATTGCACTCGAAATGCCGTCTTCTATGAGCGAGGCGGAGGCCAGATGGCGCGAGCAGTTTGCCGCCATGAAAACTGCCCTTGAAAACTTAAAGCTACCTGAAAAAATCCATCCCGTCCAAGCAGAACTAGACTTGGACTTCGACCTGGACGATGAAGACCTCACCTCTGGTAACAGTGGCGATGATGTATGGGACTTCATAGACGATAGCGAGGAAGACTTGTACAGTAGCGATTTTCCCGAGGAATCCAATGACCACGTCGATAGCGGAAGCTCCGGCTTGACTTGGTTCATAGAACAATGCTTCAACATCGCTACTAAGAACGGCTTGTCTTCAGATGTTTTCCAAGCACAGACTCTAGAAATCTTAGGATCTGAGCGGTCCGAGGACGAGTTACAATCCTCACTCACTGATCTTGTTGGGTTTGATGACTTCGACTTCATCATTGAAGTGTTATCTCGCAGGCATGAAATCACTTCAAGCTTTGCCGCCGCCCAGGAGACACAGAAGCCAACTGGCCGACTCTTGACTAGAGCCGAAAGAGATGAAGCTCTTCGACAGAAGGACCTTGAGCATAAGAATGCTACTCTAGCCCCTAGTATGCATAAGGAGACCCAATATCCGCACATATACAGAGCATACAACGCAGGCAATACCCTAAGCCATACCGGAAGCAAGTATGGTATGCCAGATGGTACTGAGCGGAAAATGCATGACAAGTATGAGGAATTTGTAGTTCCTGCTGGGAAAACCGACACGCTTCTTCCTGGACATAAACTTATTAAGATATCCGACATGGACGGGCTTTGCCGGCGAACATTCAAGGGCTACAAGACACTGAACAGGATGCAGAGTCTAGTCCATCCGGTAGCCTACAAGACCAGCGAAAACATGTTGATCTGCGCTCCTACCGGTGCGGGTAAGACAGATGCGGCTATGCTAACAATATTACAAACGATTAGCCAATACGTAACGCCAAATCCCATTGAGAATACAGACGCAACGGATTTTGCTGTTGATACCCAGGATTTTAAGATCGTATACGTCGCCCCGATGAAAGCTCTTGCTGCGGAAATCACCGGGAAACTAGGCAAGCGTCTCGCGTGGCTCGGTATACGCTGTCGTGAGTTTACGGGAGATATGCATCTTACTAAATCCGAAATTGTGCAAACGCAAATCATCGTTACTACCCCTGAAAAGTGGGATGTCGTTACAAGAAAGGGTACTGGGGATACCGAGCTCGTTCAAAAGGTTCGGTTGCTCATCATCGACGAAGTTCATATGCTTCACGATGAACGAGGTGCTGTTTTGGAGTCTTTAGTAGCGCGTACTGAACGCCAAGTTGAGAGTACCCAATCCTTAATCCGTGTTGTCGGACTCAGTGCTACCCTTCCAAACTATGTCGACGTTGCCGACTTCCTCAAGGTCAACAGATATGCCGGTCTTTTTTACTTCGACGCCTCCTTTCGTCCAGTTCCTCTCGAGCAACACTTTATAGGGGTTAAAGGTAAAGCTGGCTCGAGGCAGTCCAGAGATAATCTTGACACTGTAGCCTTCGAAAAAGTCAAAGATATGCTGATAGAAGGCCACCAAGTTATGGTATTTGTCCATTCTAGAAGAGATACTCTTCTTACCGCCAAAATGCTTCACAAGAAAGCTACCGAAGACAGTTGTACGGATCTCTTTGATTCTATGGAACACCCGTACTATGAGCAAGCCATCCGAGATATGAAGTCCTCAAAAGCGCGTGAGCTTAGGGACCTAGTGCCCAAGGGGCTAGGTATACATCACGCCGGTCTAACTCGATCGGATAGAAACCTCATGGAAAAATTGTTTGCCGAGGGTGTTATGAAGGTGCTCTGTTGTACGGCAACTCTTGCATGGGGTGTCAACTTACCGGCCGCGGCAGTTGTTATTAAAGGAACCCAAGTCTACAGTGCACAAGATGGAAAGTTCATCGATCTAGGTATCCTCGACGTGCTCCAGATCTTTGGTCGTGCTGGACGGCCCCAGTTCGAGGATACTGGTATCGGTATGATTTGTACAACACAAGACAAGTTGGATCATTACCGGCGGTCAGTCACCGCACAGCAACCTATCGAATCAAAGTTCTCTTCAAAATTAGTCGACAATTTAAATGCCGAGATTGCCCTAGGCACTGTTACTTCCATCCCGGAAGCAGTGCAATGGATTGGCTACTCGTATCTCTTCGTTCGGATGCTGAGAAGTCCCATGACTTACGGGATCGAGTGGGCCGAGATTAGGGATGACCCAAATCTTGTCCAGAGGCGACGACAGCTTGCTATTCAGGCAGCTAAAGTATTGCAGCAAAGTCAAATGATTATCTTCAATGAGAGTACAGAGGAACTAAGAAGCAAGGACATTGGCCGCATTGCTAGCCAATACTATATCCAGCAGACAAGTATACAAATATTCAACACGTTAATGAAACCTCAGGCAACAGAAGCAGACAACTTAAAGATGATTAGCGAGAGTGGAGAGTTTGACAACATACAGTCCAGAGACAGCGAAGCCGACGAATTGACCAGGCTAAGACATGACGAGGATGTGGTCTTTTGCGATCCCGGTCGTGGAATTGATACGCCCCAAGCAAAGACAAATATTCTGTTGCAGTCCTATATCTCTCGGGCACAGCTGGAAGACTTTGCGTTGTCAAACGATCTGAACTATGTGGCTCAGCAGTCTGGGCGAATTTGTCGCGCCTTGTTCCAGATTGCGTTAAATCGACGATGGGGTCATCAATGTCTCGTTTTGCTAACCCTCGCAAAGTCTATCGAGAAACGTGTCTGGCCATTCCAGCATCCATTGCATCAATTTGACTTACCTAAGTCGGTGCTCAACCAAATCGATGAGAAGGATACCCCTATCGAAGTCTTACGCGACATGGAGAACGCGGAAATTGGTAGTCTAATCCATAACCATAATGCCGGCAAGAAGATAGGGAGAATTCTTGACCATTTCCCAATCGTATCAGTAGAAGCCGAGATCGCGCCTTTAAATAGAGATGTCTTGAGGGTTAAGCTCTATATCACTCCAGAATTCACCTGGAGCGACCAAATACACGGAACATCCGAATCTTTCTATATCTGGGTCGAGAATTCCGAAACGTCTGAAATCTACCACCACGAATTCTTCATACTCAATAGGAGAAAGCTCTACGATGACCACGAACTCAATTTCACAATCCCTTTATCAGACCCTCTGCCTAATCAGATCTATGTCAGGGCGGTGTCGGACAAATGGCTTGGAGCAGAGACAGTAAATCCGATCTCTTTCCAACACCTTATTCGTCCGGATACGGAGAGCGTGTATACGGATCTACTCAACCTGCAACCACTACCCATTAGCGCCCTAAATAACGCGGGCTTGGAAGAGGTCTATGCGAAGAGGTTTCAATACTTCAATCCAATGCAATCGCAGATATTTCACACGCTCTATCACACGCCAGCTAATGTCCTATTAGGGTCACCTACTGGTAGTGGCAAGACTGTCGCGGCAGAGTTAGCTATGTGGTGGGCATTCCGCGAGCACCCGGGTTCCAAGGTTGTGTACATCGCTCCAATGAAAGCTCTAGTACGCGAGCGAGTAAAGGATTGGGGCGCTCGACTTGCTGGACCTCTTGGTCTCAGGTTGGTTGAGTTGACGGGTGATAATACGCCAGATACGAGGACTATCAAGGACGCCGATGTCATTATCACCACGCCTGAGAAGTGGGACGGTATCTCTCGTAGCTGGCAAAGTAGAGGGTATGTTCGTCAAGTTTCACTTGTAATCATTGACGAAATCCACCTGCTTGCCGGTGACCGAGGCCCCATTCTCGAGATCATCGTGTCTCGTATGAATTATATCGCCCAATCTACCAATAATGCCGTGAGACTTCTTGGGATGTCCACTGCCTGCGCGAACGCGACAGATCTGGCTAATTGGCTTGGAGTAAAGGAAGGTCTATTCAACTTCCGTCACTCTGTACGGCCGGTACCATTGGAGCTATACATCGACGGGTTCCCGGAAGTAAGAGGATTCTGCCCCCTGATGCAATCTATGAACCGGCCAACTTTCTTAGCTATCAAAACCCATAGTCCTAATAAACCTGTCATTGTCTTCGTGCCATCACGACGGCAGACTAGACTGACTGCGAAAGACCTGATCAACTATTGTGGCATGGAAGACAATCCTAGGCGATTCGTCAATATGTCAGAAGAAGATCTTCAGCTCAATCTTAGTAGGGTTAAGGATGATGCACTCAAGGAGGCGATCAACTTTGGTATTGGGCTTCATCATGCAGGTCTCGTCGAATCTGATCGGCAGCTGGCCGAAGAGCTTTTCCTGAACAACAAGATCCAGATCCTGGTTGCGACGAGTACGCTGGCCTGGGGTGTTAACCTTCCCGCCCACCTGGTCGTCGTCAAGGGCACACAGTTCTACGATGCAAAGATTGAAGGCTACAAAGACATGGATCTAACAGATGTATTGCAAATGCTGGGTCGGGCCGGTCGTCCGCAATTTGACAACTCTGGTGTCGCGCGCATCTTCACTCAAGACTCTAAGAAGGATTTCTATAAGCACTTCTTGCACACTGGTTTCCCAGTCGAATCATCGTTACATACTGTCCTCGACAACCATTTGTGTGCTGAAGTATCAGCCGAAACGATCACAACTAAGCAAGACGCACTCGACTATCTGACTTGGACTTTCTTTTTCCGCCGGCTACATAAGAATCCTTCGTACTACGGGCTTGAGATCTCCTCCGAGGAGCATAACACCGTTGCTGCCCAACAGCTCGCGAACGACTTTATGATTGATATGGTCAGCAAATCGTTAGATGAGCTTGCTGCTTCGAAGTGTGTTGAAATATACCCCAATGGAGATGTAGATCCGACGCCCCTGGGTAAGATCATGAGTTACTACTACTTATCACATAAGACAATCCGGCATCTAGTCAAAAGTGCAAAGCCAAAAGCAAGCTTCTTGGATGTCTTATCCTGGATGTCTCGCGCGACAGAATATGACGAGCTCCCTGTCCGACATAACGAAGATCTTATTAATGCGGAATTATCGAGTAATCTCCCATTTGAGGGCAACAGTTTCGACTTGCCAATGTGGGATCCTCACGTCAAAGCCTTCCTGCTTCTACAAGCACACATGGCCCGCATCGATCTTCCTATTACGGATTACGTCGGTGATCAGACCAGTGTTTTGGACCAAGCTATTCGTATCATCCAGGCGTCAATCGACGTCTTGACGGAGCTAGGATATCTTTCCAGTTGTCTCGAAATGATCAAGCTGCTCCAATGCGTCAAGTCGGCTCGCTGGCCACAAGACCCGCCCCTATCCATCCTCCCGGGAACCAGCTACGATAATTTGAAAGACAATAAGACTGCCCTCCAAAAGCTAAGCAGCTTCCCCCGACCGCAGGTCGAGGATCTCGCTCGGAAACTCAATATCCCAAGCTCTCAACAAAGCCACTTCGTCCGCGCAGCCTCCGTCCTACCCAACGTCAGCGTCAAAGTCGAGGACGTAACAGCACAGTCCCTCAGCGTCTCGCTCGAGCGTCTTAACCCCGTCGTCGAGCGCGAGGCCCGCATCTACGCCCCGCGGTATCCTAAGCCCCAGACGGAGGGCTGGTTCGCCATCGTCTGCGACGCCGCGCGCGACGAAGTGCTAGGCGTGAAGCGCGTCTCCTGGAGCCAGGGCCCTGGCTCCAAGGGCAAATCCAAATCCAACACTAACACCAACGCTAAATCTAACGCCGTGCAAATCGGCTCGAGGCCAACGGCCAAAACTACGCTGCGCCTCCCTAGCCCCGATAAGGACGGGAAAGCGAGGAAGGTCGATGTTTTGGTCCTGAGCGATGCGTATATAGGTCTTGAGTACGGGGTTATGGGCGTGGAGATACCGGCGCTGCCGAAGGTGGATGATGATGTGGATAAGTCGAAGAAGGGGAGGCAGGAGCAGGAGCAGGAGCAGGAGCAGGGGAGTTCAGCATGAGAGGTTTGCTGTATAAAGGGGTGATATATACTATGAAATAGATGGTGTACGTAGATGAGTTTACGTCGATATGATATGTATGAGTTGCTGCTCAACTCGAAATTTGATACCTATCATCAATCATTGGTATTTGAAAGGAGACTAGTTAGTTAGTTGTGTATAATTCCTCCACGAGCTTTGAATTATATTCGTTGCAATCAGTACTAAGCATGCACATACATAACTCCATGCTGCTAAGATTATCCCCCGAGCTACATATGCAATGCTCCCTTTCCAGCCACATGCAAATCACCAGCCAAATGCACCACAGCACAAGCAACAGCCCAACGAACAAACATACGACAATAGTAAAGAACCAAGTGGCCAGGAATAATAACGATTCGTAATGCATTCGTATCTCGTAAGGAACCAATCGATATACTCCTCGTGACCAGGAACAACGGCAATGAATACCTACGCAAACTCCAGGATCCGAGACCAGCCCAACCTAACCTACCCTGACCCTGACCAGACCTGACCTGAACCCGGATGCTGCTCCTAAATATGCATTTCCAAACGCCGTACTTGATGTTGATAGACGATATTTCATCACCGTTCCTTGGCTATATAATGTCATGGAACCCTCTTTTGCCTAGACCAAGTGGTGATCTGAAAAAGACTACCATCCCTTATGCCCGCAGAAGGCCACCTTTGATACGATAATCGTTGAATAAGAACCAGCCACCCTTTCGTAGTTCCCCATAATCCCATTAAGATATCTAGGCCATCAACAACAGCGTCTCCCTCTCCGTCCCTGTTCCTCCCCTTGCCTCTGCTGCTCCGCACCGCCCACATTCGGATTTTCCATCGTAACAGCTGGGGAGAAGTTTGGGGAGGAAAATAGCCAACTCCGACGGTCTTTGCCGACGCGGAAGCTACCGCGGGGATTCGCGCCGTCGAAGTATCCCCCATCCATGCCGTTCTCGTACCCGGGAGTACCTGGCGTGGCGGTGGCGGCTAAGATAGCCTGCTGCATCTTGCGGTTCTGCTCGACGAGCTTGCGCGTTACGACCCGGAATACCTCTTCCACGCCCTCGCCGCTTTCGGCGCTGATCTCGTGGCACGCATCCCAGCCAACTTCTTGGCCCCAGAACCCGCTGCTTCGCTTACTACTCGGGCTACGCGGTTCCTGGGCGCTCGACGCGGCGGGCGTGACTACTACGCTCGACTGGCTTACCCCCGGTCCTATTGGCAGGGTAGCTAGTCCTGATGGCGTTGCGGTTGGTGGTGGTGTCGATCCGAGGCCTGGAGCGAGGTGTTCGGCGACGTATGCTATGCACCGTTCGAAAGGCACTTCGCGACGAGTAGGGTCGCGGGCGACGATGTCGGCCTTGGTTCCTACTACGTGGAGAACGATATCGGGTGGCAGGTTACGGCGTAACTCCGTTAGCCACACGCCCATCTCGGCGAAGGATTGGGCGTCGGTGATACTGTAGCAGAGGATGCAGGCGTTAGCTCCGCGGTAGTAGAGCCGCGATATCGAGCGGAATCGTTCCTGTCCGGCTTTGTGGTTACGTGGGTTAGCCTTCATATTTTACATGACATGTTTGAGATATAAATAACAAGGAACAAGTAACAAGTAACAAGTAACAAATGGAGAATTAGGTAGTACCTGTATCCCATATCTGTAATCGGACGACAGTGTCAGTGTCACCGTCTAGGACCCTCTTGGTCATAAAACTAGCGCCAACGGTAGAAGTATTCTGGGCGGGATTGAAGGCGCCTTTGCAGTACCGCGTCACTAGCGATGTCTTGCCCACGCCTTGGGAGCCGAGGACGACGATCTTGGCCTCGAGGGAAGACATGTTGTGTAGTCAAGCTACGGTAGTGGAGGGCCGACCTGGGTTAGAGTTGAGTCAAGTCGGGAAATATATGTATGTATATATGTATGTATGTATGTTATGTTAGAATGGAACCACCGGGGAAGGTTTCATTCAGTGCAGTGGAGAATTATGCGAGTAATAGCTGGGCACTTGGATGGCAGGTATGGCAGCAGGGCAGGTGCTGGGGAAGCTGGGGGAGCCTGGGGGAGCCTAGGGGGAAATGCTAGGATGAACGACTTCGCCTCTGGAAGTTTGGGTAGTTTGGGTTGCGGGTCTGAGCGGTCTGGATCGTCATGCTCCTTCTCGAAAGCGGTTGCGAGCAGATAGCAGATAGATCGAAGGTGTTGTACTGAGACACCCGTGCCGTGTTAAGCCGTGTTACGTCTTACGTCTATATCGGGATTTCTTATCACGGGTCGGAAGCAGGAGACGTAGTAGAACGAATGATTGTTGATGCGGTACTGTGTTAGACAGGTAGATAGGTAATGAAAAGCTGGTGTTGATAGCTGGTGTTGATAAATACTAGGTTACCTTAGGTAGTTAATGTTGATAAATGCTGTTGATAAATGCTAGGTTAGTTAGGTAATATTGATAAATGCTATGGGTGAGAGTCTTCTACTATGTATAAGACGGTGCTGACTCGTCATGTACACTAACCTAGTAAGGTCACACCGTGTCCAACGAGTGACAAATGAGTCCGACGGTCTGGGGTAAGCTTCGATAAGCCGGGATTGGCTTCTGTCAGGTGCCAATCATACCGCCAATCATACTGCTAAGTAAAAGCCCTGAAAGTGCTGACATGGTAACTAAAGTGAATTTAGAAAGATGCAAACTAATTTAACTAGTAGGTACCTATTACTAGTTAAAATATGATATGATAACTACAAGAAATGATACAAATATGAGATGGCGATGTCCTTTCTTTTCTTCTTTTGCGACCTTGGCGTCTCGTCTTGCGAAAATGTTGTGTTGGTAGGTATTGTAAAAGGTTAAATAAACGAAGTTTCGCAAATACATACAAGGTATTATCTCGTATGTGACCTCATAGCCCCTCAGTCCACATGCACTGCTCGAGTCACGTGGTTCTGCTTACTATGTAACGTAGGTACCTAAGTCCACGGGCTAATGGCTTGTATGTAAATGGAAGCTACCTTGATCTTAACTTATATTGGAACACATTTTTTCTATCATGAATGCATTTCCACCCTTTTTTATTATTTATTTTTTATCATCAATAAAATCGAGCCTTGCGTATTATGCAAGACTACAGTTTACCGCCAGTCAGGAGGATAACATTATTAGTATAGACTCTAGAGTCCTCTCGAGCTTACTGCATCACACAAACCGTCTTCAGGCTGAGCATATCCCGAGGGATATGAAATGTCAAAGGATAGAGGATTATGGGAGCACATCCCGCCGTATGAAATTTGCTCCGGGCTCCAGGGACAAAGGCTACGAAGCAGAATATGCTCTTCCTTGGTACCCTCCCTGCCTTCGGTCAATGCACCGAGCCAAATGGTAAAAATCGCTTCAGCAAGGACAATAAATTGTCTAGCCTTCACAACTTCGTTAGGCTCGGAGGACGTGACATCCATGGAGAGAAGGGTGATGAAGGGGCCCTTTCTGTCCAGGCCCTGCTTCCGGATCCGACTCTTTAAGTAGGGAGAACTGTGCTTCCCTCCTTGCTGATACTGATGCTGGAACTTCCGCCTGGACAACCCCTCGCCATATTTTGTTGCCGAGCCGACATAAACATAGTGTTCCGGGTAAAATGGGTTGTATAACTTATGCGTTAGGATCCAAGTATAAACACCCATCTTGTTGGTGTCTTCCCATTCTAGAGATCTCAGTCTAGAGATCGTTGGGGGCGAAGAGGCCGCCAGAATATGGCCTACTGGCGTAGGAATCAGCGCCAGAATCCGTTCGACCCATTCTGCTCTAGGTGTCCCCATAAGCACGCGACGCCATTTATCCGTTTTGTCTGCCTTAGTGAGTCCCACCAAGATACGATCAAGCCGAACTTCAAGAGTCTCCCTCTCTGATGTGCTAAGCTCATTATCGAGAGGGATGTCAGCTGATAAGAGCGGCATGGGAGCGTCTCGCTCATTAGCCAGCTTTTTAATTTGACGCACGACGCTGTCAACTTTCCGACCAATCCGTCGTGCTATCATCTTTTTATTTGGCACGCTTCGCTCCTTTAGGTGTTCTAGAAGGACATGTTCCTCCGCCGAACTCCACCTTCCTGTCTTAACTTTCCTTAGGAGACTTGCGAGTCCGTCATTGTTGCGAAGAGAGCGACGCACATCCAATTCACTTCGTCCAATACTGAGTGCGATTTCCCAGACTTGAAATCCCTTTAGTAGTAATACCTTCATCTGCTCAATTTCGAGGTGTGTTAAAGGTGGGTACTTCTTGGACGGTGCTCTCCTTAAAGGAGAAGAAGTATGAAAAAAAGCGAGCCCAGCCTTACACCACCTAGTAGAGGACAGAGGAAGGATTGAATCCCTCCTGCCAACGCGCCATGACACTAGCCATGGCACTACTGGGCATTTCCACGGTGTGGCCAGCTTATATAGTCGACCATCGGCGATTGCGCTTAAAATCCGTGGAGGGTAGTTTGACATGATGTCGGACTTCACTTCTATGCCAAAAAGTAGGCCGTAATGGTTAAGTTTATTGTTTAATACATTAGGTACGATACCTCTTTCGATTTTCAGCTCCTATATACATTAACGGGAGGGATCTAGGTACTGACATGGTCTCGGAATTGGTGTTAATATAGCTATAATCACGGGCCCCCAAGGCCTTGCCAACAAGCCACAGCTCTCGGCATCCAGCAAACGCATTGATATTTTCCTACATGGAACAACCCTGGAACAACCCTGTCATCCGTTTGCGCTGCGTAATAACAAGCCGCAAGATAACAACCAACACGGTAGACGACGGGATAGTAAACGCCCAGTACACCCAAAAGTTATCCCCCACGACGGCCTCCTGATCCCAGTGGAGCAACGGCACCGAAAATAGCGACGCGAAGAACATCCCCGGTAGGAATGCCATGGTCATCGCCGCAATAACTTTCATAGACGAACTGCAGATCGTAGCCGAAGAAAGTGCTAAATCCGTCCAGGGCGAGGCTTACGTGGCCCGTCAAGATGAGTAACGGTAAGAAGCAACTACTCTGATAAAGACTACCGCTCCTCCTCGGAAATTTCGCCATGCACTCATACTGTGTATTCGAACTCTTCTCCTCTAGTGTGAATAGAGACAGGTTGTAGACTTCGTGCGAAGTTATAAGATGCTAGTAATACCGTGATTAGCAGGCAATGGCCTCCCCTTTTTAAATTTCAACAGCACGTAGGTCTGTAGTGGCTGTAATACTTGGAGCATAACATATTCAAAAGAAGGCCACTCCGAACTGCATCGTCACTCTAGAGCCTGTTATATGTGACATCGACTTACCTAACACACGTGAATCAGTACCGTTCATGAATATACTAAGAAGCTTTCGTAACTCACGGCTAAATAACAAATTTGATTCACAGCGGTCTTATCACAAGCATACATGTACCTATCTATATACAATCTGAACCCGCATACAAGCCAAGCTGGTATATCCAAAACCCCACACGACAGGAAACAGACACTACATAAATAGTATGTCCTAGATAAATACGAACATCATCGACGTTTCACGGAAATAAGACACACACCCAAGTCACAGCTTGGACGACTTGGGCGACTTAAACGCCGGTGTAACAAGCGGGTCATACACCTTATGGCCGAGGTGGTCTCGCGGCACACCCGTAACATGGCTACCGAGGTTTCGCGTATCGACGAGCGACGTATTGAGCTGGTCGACGCTGGTGCATCCGATCAGCCGCATCGCCATCTCCATCTCGTCGCGGAGGAGCTGCATCGCTCGGTCAACGCCGTCGATGCCGTACGCTGACATGGCGTAGAGGAACGGACGACCGATACCCACGCCCTTAGCACCCAGACACAGCGCCTTGATAATGTCGGTAGCGCGGCGAACACCTCCGTCTACAAAAATCTCAATGCGGCCTTCCAGCCCCAGTTCCCGCAGCACCGGCACCGTCTCCGCCAGGACCTCGACACCGGACCGCGCAAAATCAAGCTGTCGCCCACCGTGGTTCGACAGCACAACTCCTTGGACCCCGTACTCGATAGCTTTGACGACGTCTTCAACGCGCTGCACGCCTTTCAGCACGATGGGCATCTTGGTAATAGACTGGAACCACGGGATGTCTTTCCACGAGAGCCCAGGGTCGATGAACGACGAAATAGCGCGCGCCGCGCCCTGCGAGTTGTCCGTCTCCTGGCCGGACTGGACGTTAGACCCTTTATCCGTGAACTTGGACCGCATATCCTTTTCCCTCCTGCCCAACTGCGGCGCATCCACCGTAATAAACAGTCCCTTGCACCCGCGCTTCTCGGCGTGTCGGACGATGCGCTCGGTAATCGCCCGGTCCGAATTGACGTACAGCTGCAGCCACTGCACCTGGTCTCCTTCGGCGGCATCTACGATCTCGTCGAACGAGCACGATGCTAACGTGGGAATCATCTGCACGACGTTGTGCTTCTTGGCGGCTCGGGTTAATACCACTTCGCCCTCTGGGTGTCCCAGCTTGCCCAGCGCTGTTGCCGTGACGTAGAAGGGAATGTCGACTTTGGCGCCGAGCATAGTGGTTGAGAAGTCTACTTTCTTGACGTCAACTAGAATCCTGGGCCTGAACCATATCCTGTGGAAGGCCTCGTGGTTTTCTCGGAGCGTCTTGACGAATCGGTTAGGAGATGTTTGCGTAGTGTAGGTGTGAGTAAGAACTTACTATCTCGTCATCGGCGGCACTGGAGTAGTATCCCCAAGCACCTCTCTTCATAACCCTCTTCGCAACTGATTCGAAGTCCATCAGATTGTAGCATTGTGATAATAGCGGCTTATCCGCAATACGTTGTTGCCGCCCAGCTTCCTCGGGATCCTCTTCTTCCTTGATCTTGGCAACGGTTTTCAGATCAACAGGTCCCAAATGCTTCGATTTGTCCAGATACTTGTCTAAAGTATCCGGGGGATGTATAGGCTCGAACTCTTCAGTCGCATCTTTACCCGCATACCTCAAGATGATGCCCATTCCACCGGGATGTTCTATAAATAAATCAGTCTTGCAGTCTTAATATACGGAAGGCTGTGAGGTACCGACCGGGTAAGAATTCCGTGACATCATAGGCTTTCCCCTAAGACATTCAGTGGGTGAGACATTGATTCTTCGCATGAGATACTCTGTGATCAGCCAACTTACATGGATTACCACCCAGCAAGACTCCTTGCTATCGTGCTTGGCGACTTCAACTCCTGAAAGCGCCATGGCGAACACGCTCGCTCGCTCGCTCGCTCTAAGCAACTCCTTTTAATGATGTACTTGGACCACGTTTCGTGACACCGTAATTTAACAAGGGATGATAGGTTACAGTGATGGTAGTTACAATATATAAAAGAATTATAAGGACGTGAAAAGTTCAAAATCAATCAATGCGACACGTGGAATGTTTACATTAAAGATGGAAAATTAGCCACTGAAGCTTTCACAGGATGAAATACTTTGTATTGCCGACGTTTGTTTCGTTAGCCGAACCAGCGATTAACCTAACCTAGCCTCTAGCGTCGCAACGAAGACCAAGAGGTTGGAGAAAGCCTGGAGACGGTGGAGCAGCGTGGATCCGTCTCGGGCGTCGGGAGAAAATCTAGCGGGGTTTTAGATGCCCGCTCTTGGAAATATGTTGACTATTATTCGCCATGATTCGCTAGTGGAACCAGCTAGCCGGATGGACTCTTTATTACTCGGTTTGCTCTTTATACTGCACAGTAAATATAAGCAGTTGATAACGGTAGATATACTGTACGCATGTTATACCCCACAACATCGCTCTAGCAAAGTAAGTACTCAATTGATGCATATGGCAGAGTACTGAAAATGTACCTAGGCACTTGTATAATACAAGTCATACATGTATGTACGTATTGTACTTCATCCATCTTTACCACATGCACTCAACTCTAGGTGTTACAAGAGTGACGGAATCCTTCTAGAAGCTGACTACCCCGCAACACAGCAGACAAGCACATACTCTAATAATATAGCGCCATGCAGCACCGTTATTGTACCACTATATTAGGTTAGGTACTATAAACACTTCTTCTTACATAGCACATCCCATCCCATCCCATCTTACTTATCTACACTCTAACTAACCCTTACCCACCACCATCCATTTATCCATAAGAACCCAACCCCAACCAACCATGCCCTCCGGCCACGTCCAAGCCACCGTCGGCGACACCGTAGTCGCCGAGTCCGAGACCTACGAGCTCGTCGAGGGCAACGTGTACTTCCCGCCGGCGTCCCTCAAGCCCGAGTTCTTCAGCCGGACAGACCTGCACACGCACTGCGGGTGGAAGGGCGACGCGGACTACTACACCATCAAAGTCGGGGGTGCGTTTACATGTTTATCTACCTACCTACCTACCTACCTACCTACCTACCTTAGGTACATACCTAGGTAACTAACGAGCGGTCGGGGGGTATCGCAAGACTGACGTCTATATATATGCCTAGATACGGAGCTCGCGAATGCCGCGTGGTTCTACCCCGCGCCGCTTGACAAGGCCAAGCATATTAAGGACTATGTCGCTTTCTGTGAGTGTTGCTGCTCTCTCTCTCTCTCGTTACACATTGCGGTGTCTGGTTTAAACGGAATTATAACCAAGTCTAATAATTCGGGGATAGATAAAACTAAAGTAGATGTGACGGCAGTATAAATCAATAAATATCGGCAGTTTTTATAACGACTTAAACTCTAGTTGCCGGAGATGAAATCAAAGTTCCAGTAGTTAGTCCTTATAGAAACAACAAATAGGAGACTTACTTTACCAATAGTAACTCTGCGTATAATCACATAGACCTTAACTCAACTCAATTATGTCATCCATCACTTACCTCATACCCTCAAAGTTAGCAAATCACGATCACTCGCTTGGTAGTAAAATTGTGTATAAAAATGCTACACCAGAGCTAGCCACAAGAATCAAATAGAATAAGCAAGTCCCTTAGGTAGCTAGACGAATAGGAAAAAAAATGTAATGATTGAACTGGGTATATTAATCTATGTTATACAAAAACACAAGGGACCAGATGTTGTTCGTATCAGAGTCATCGTACGCCGATTAGACCGCCCCCGTTCGCATAACAGACGATACTCATCTCCATAGAACCTTCACCGCAGCACGGCCAGTCCACGACTTCGTCACAACGTTCTTCGCGTCCGCGTACGGGCACGAAACATTCGTCTCTCAAAAAGACAAGGAAAATATATTTATAGAGACTCTGCGGTCTTGCTCTGGCTGCTAGCCTCGGCAGCCGGCAGGCGCGCGGGCTGATCCTCGCCCGAGAGCTCTTCGAGGGTCTTGCGCTTGGTCTCGGGGATGAAGAGCGTGGTGAAGATGCCGAGGAGCATGAACAAGGCATAAATCTCGAGCACGTGGTCCATCCAAGGGTTCTCGTTGTCCTTAGTACCACCGTGCGTTCGAAGGATGGAGATGGCGCCCTGGCCGATGATAGAGCCGATCTTGCCGGAGGCGGCCGAGATACCGTGCGAGGTCGATCGGTAACGAGTGGGGAATACCTCGCCGGGGACGATGAAAGTGGTCATGTTGGGACCGAAGTTGAAGAAGAACTGCGCGAGGACGTAGATGGCGAGCAGTCCGTTGCTAGATATGTGGTTGTAAGCAAACCCCATGATAACAAAGAGAATGGTTAAGATGATGAAGCCACCCATCTGGATGGTCTTTCGGCCGAGAGTGTCGAGCGTGGCAACCGAAACCCAGTATCCCGGGACGGCACCGGCCAGGACGATGATAAGGTTACCAATAGCTGTATTGTACAAGATTTCGTAGACATTCTTGGCGGTAGCGGTAGAATAGCCGATCACCTCTAGAATAACAGCATTGTTCAAAGAGAGGCCGTAGACTGCGTTCCACTGTTAGTTTCTCTCTTCGAAATTTAATCGAGCCTCAAGGTTACTTACAAGCCACATCAAGCATGAACCACGAGCCAGCAGTGCCGAACAAAAGTAGACCGTTCTTGGGGATAGAATAATGACGACAAAAGTCGCTCCAGCTGGCCTTCGGGATGGTCATCTGGGCCTGGGCAGCCTCGCGAGCTTGGATACGGGCGACGTCGTCAGGGTGACCTTCTCGTTTGCCAGATATATATGCCTTGACATCGTCGGCGGCCTTCTCGACATCGCGGCCAATATCGAAAGTGTAACGCTAATACTAATGTCAGCAAGTTCTGTTCATCATGTCTCGGTATAGGTAACTTACAGGAGTCTCAGGAATCGTCAGTCGGTAGTAGAGAGCAATGCAGGCCGGGACAGCGCCGAAGCCGATCAGAGTCCTCCACATCTTGTCGACGGCGATGGCACAGTAGCCGTCGCATTCAGTGGTGCGCGGTGCAACGGACAGTGCTTCTTTGAAGCCTAGAGTAACGAATAACATGACGAATGCGCAGACGAGCTGACCAATACCTTGCATAGCAAAGACGGCACCCATCATAGCTCCTCGCCATTTCGTCGTAGCGAATTCGGAAGTAATGATACTGGATAGCGGGTAATCTCCACCAATACCGACTCCGAGTATGACACGCCAGAAGATGACGAGACCGACGATATTAACCGAAGGAGAACCGGAGCTAAGGGCCTGGCCGAGAGTTGCGAAGATGATAATAATCAACTCAAGACCGTACATACGCTTTCGTCCAACGTGGTCCGCAAGCCAACCGAAAACTAATTGACCAACAACAGTACCGGCGGACGTCGACAGCTTGATAGCATTGTCAGAAGAGTTAGGCAGCTTGCCCAGCTCCGGGTAGTAGACAATTCCCAACATGGTGTTTAACAAGCTAACGGCGAAGATATCGTAAGAATCCGTGAAGAAACCAATACCGGCGACGATACAAGCTCTGCATCCCAACATGTAGTTAGCTTCTCGCAGTATTTGAACTACCGCAGGGCGGGGAACGGGTGCCTACCTGACATGGTACCACCCGAAGGGAGCCTTGTCGATCTCAGCGAGCGCGAGGCGACGGCGCTCGTTAGGATCTTGGATGTGCAAGAAGTCATTGTGAAAGTTGTGATAAGCGTTGTTACCGCCTGAAGTCTTTGAGGTGAATGCTGGATTTGCCGTATCGGGCGCGGCGTCAGCCATGGTTGGTTGTGGGAATGAGAAGAGTGTTGTCCGTGCGTGTTCCGTGGTGATCGATCTGATCTGGGTAAGTCAAGGGTTAAAATCTATGCGCGAGGTAAAAAGCAGGCAATAGATAGATGTAGGCAAGGGAGGGCCTATCACCCGATAGGGACTTGATGCTAACAGCAGAAAGCAAAAAAGCAAAATTGTCTGTAGCTGAAGGGACGTGCTATGCTTTTGTATCTTTTCTTACCAACCTATGATCCTAGCTATAGGTAAGCCGCGATTTACACAATGCAGGTTAGGTCTTTGTGACAGGGGACGCCGAGTCAGCTAACCAACAACATGCGAGATGTACAATTCAGGGTAGGCCGTATGTAATGCTTGACGCTTGACGCTTGACGCTTGACTCTTGACTCTTGACTCTTGACTCTTGACACGGTAGGACGGGGACGCAGGCATTACAATCCCACCAGTCCGGGTGGTCCCTCCGGGGCTTCTACGCCTATTGGTAGTCTGTTCAACGTGAGATAAAAAGGCAGGCTGCATGGATCAGTAACTCTGCAATGCAGGTGCAATATTGTAGAACGGACCAGACTCGGGCAATTCTCCCATTACGTCGGTGTCCACAAGCAGCTCCAACTACTACCTATTATACCTATTATACCTATTACACATAGTAATGCATATAAGAAGGGCGGCTGGTCTTTTGCAGCATGCTTGATGCACTGGGCAGACTCGAGTGCGCCTACGAATACGTAGACTTTACTTTCTTGACTGTATTCCGTACATGGGACTGTGTGGCCCCTAGCGGGCAAACGTCTAAATCGAGATGGTAGATCTCTAAGGGCGCATGTTTTCAAAGGGCATGTTTGTTTGGCGTCCAAAAGGACCGACGAGAAATGAATTATTTTTGACGTCGTGGGACCACAATGCATAGAAGCTAAATCGAAGGGGAACCGAAGCTGCTGATTTTCTTGACCACACTTTTATGATCGATTGATGCACGCGGCAACGAGGTTAGGCTGATGAAAAGCTTTAGATGTTCGATATTAGCGGCTTAGCAGTCGTAGCTGGCAGGTTGAAAGGGTTGAAAAGGTTGAATTGCTAGAAACTGTATCCAATCAGAGTAAATGTCGTTGGTGGTTGAAGACGAATTAGAGTTGTAGCTTAGAGCACATGTTGAGGCTCCGACGATCTGATTCGTCAGGGATGTTGGAACCCTGGAGGACGCCTCAATTCGTAAATCGGTGGGGTTTGTTCGGGTCGGTTGCGGCATGGCGACCAGGGAAGCTGGGGAGTAAAAAGGTATGTAAAGGGCTCCGAATGTCCCCTGTACCTACGCTACGTATGTATGTACATAGGTTAGGTACCTATGTATCCCTGTATTCCTTATCATCCCTGTAATTATGGGGCAACTCGCATATGGTGCCTCGCATGCACCATACCCCATCAAGGATCTTTAAGGGATTGGGATTGTAGTGTACATACTATGTAACCTAGTAGATTGATATTGCAACCAACATCCTCTTGAAATAACCCATTTTTAGTCCTATGGAAACATCGATCTGAACATCGCCAAGTTATCAGGAAGTCGAAACAAGACTTCACCAAGAGACCAAGACTTGACGACAAGACGGCAAGAGAAGCTTGTTATCCATTCCCGTAATTATGTCAACATATCATTGTATGTTGTAAGCTTTTATGTTTTCCCATCACATATATAACACCCATAACCCCTGGAACTTACACGTACGTATCCGATGGGATCCTCGGTTAGGGTAGTCTCGTTTGGGCTCGGCTTTATTAGAAATTTGTAACACCTCAGTTTCGATGCTCTCAATTTCCATCAGACCAGATTCCGCAGGTGAGCAGACACCAGGACTGGCCGACTGACCGACCTTGCTTCAAATCGTAGGTGGATCGTATAGATGTTAATTAAAGTAGCCTTTTAGCAACATCTAATGAGTAACAGCTGTTTCTGTATATTTAGTGACTGGTTGCGGTTGAACCAATTAGGTGCTAGAACTCATCCACGCTCTCCATCTTTAAGCGTTCCGAGCCCCTACGATGATGATGACTTGACGGCTCCCTCTCGGGTAGGTAGAACAAAAAAATTCAGGATTCATAACATTAAGACCTACCTCCAGCCGAATACAATCACGTTGACTAGTCATAGACACAATTTAGTAGGGGTTTGTTAGCTTTTAGCCCTAGGTGTGGATTGATCGAGTTACTATTTTCGTCGAGCAGGTGGCTAGAACCCTTAACAATTTTTCACGTGTAGGTCGCCTTCGTGAGAATATCCTCGGTATCGATTTTGGTATTATATTCGTGTTGAAAGCCTGACGCTAGCTGCTGCACCTACTCGGATAAGCCCTCTATTCTAGATGGTTATAATTCCCAAGGAACCAGAGGCGGCAGGCTAGCACCGCGTGATTCGCCTTGGCTGATGCAACGGAAGCCATCTAGAGGGGGCGTGACTTATGCTGCCCTCCCACCTGTCAGCCACAGCTCCTAGGTTCAGGGCATAACATTAGCCAAGAATCCTAAAGGGTTACCTATGGCTACCTAATATAATCTTGACGCAGTGTACCCGCTAGAGAATCCGAGCTGAGCGACTTGCTTTCAAAAGGCATTGGTATCCGTTCTGGCAGAGGTAGTCAAACGGCTCGAATAACCCTATAGGCCCTAATAATTCTTAGTAGGCATAGGACAATTTTACCAATAGGGTATTAATAAGTTCACACATGCTGTGCGATCTACACCTCGACGATTTGGTCATCATCCTCTTCGTTGCCGTCTTGATCATCCTGTCCAATTTCCTTGACACGATCCACCTTATCCGGATCTTCTTCATCACGCATCAGAACCTGGACTAACCGCTCGCAGGCATCTCGAACGCCTTCATCGTTAACATGCAAGTGGGTTTCCCGAATGATTGGGTACACCTTGACATTACGCATCTGTTCTCTACCCTCCCTAGTGCTCGACAAAAGCAATAGTGTCTCGACGTGCGTCTGAATGATGTTCGGGTCGTCATCGCGCTGTTTGTCAGGAGGAAGAAGCTGAAGATCAGGAAGCATTGACATCATCTCATCTTCGTCGTACTCCTCGTTCCCCATTATCGGCAGCAACACATATGGCAAGATATCAATATCATCCTCCGATAGAAATAGTGGATGCGAAGGTACATCAAAGGCGACGTTCTTTAGAGTGGATGCGACTCCCTTCCGCCTGACGTTCGACTTATACTCAGTGAAGACCTTCAATTTTGTGATAGGTATTACCCCATCATATTCTTGCTTCCTTACAAAATAGTGTCGGACCTCGGCATGCTTTGTTAGATCAGCAAAGAGGTAAGCCAAATGGTCGAAATCTGCGTTCTTGTTGTAAGATCCGTCCGCGCCTTTAACGAATAAGTCGACTAGCTGGTTTAAAACTAGCTCATTTGATCCAAGCTCGGTTGGCGATGGCTGCTTCTTGTTCAAGACCCTCTTTAGGGAGTCCCATTTTGAAAGGTTTGCTAGGAGCATGGAAAGGAGATTTGCGTTAGGTTCGGTTGCGATCTATTGCACGTATCAGCTGGGTGTTCAACGGATCAACAAGTATTTGAAGCGAGCTGCTAGTCATGCGTTTCTCTACTAACAACTATTTGTCTTAGAACCTCATCTAAGAACCTGTCATCCGTAGCTAAGCTTTCCAGAATTTCTCGATCAGCCGCAAGGTTGATAAGTATAGTTATAACATGCTCGGCAATTTTCTATTAGTAATATTAGTTATGGTCCTTAGTTGCTTCTAATCTTGGGGAAATAATTTATACCGGGTGATCTTTCACTAAGAGCTTCAAGTTTTTAATAGGCTTGGAATTATCCACCTTGAAGATGCTGGGCTGAGATGTCGAATAGGGGACTAGATGCTCCGTCGCAAGAGCTCGAATCTCAGGTTTAGGATCGGCAATGAAGCCAACCAACTAATAAATTATCAGCAAGAATGAGACGATATAAATTTTCTTGACCTGACCTCTTCTAATTCCGTGGGCATCCTGGAAATGTTTGAATATTTAAATTATATAGATAAAAAATCTTAAACCTAAGTGTTTCTTCGCTATGAGTTGTGAGGTAGATTCCTACCAACTAAGAATTTTGCGACGGGATAGGGTTGGAGGGGTTGAGTAGCTCTATGGAGGGGCTTAACAAAAATGACGTGGGTTTCTTCGGTGTTATGCGTATATCCGTACGTAGGGATCTGTATTATCATATACACTATGTACGTACAAGAAATCTACCTACGATCTCGGATCTATGTAGCAAACAGGTAGCATAGGTAGATAGGTACCTATGCAGAGATTGACCCACTTGCCCACCCGGCAGAATCACGGGATGCAACTTCCTGCAAGTTATAAACCTGAAAAACTTTCGAAGTTTCATTCAAAACCTGAAACCTTAAACCTTAACTGCTAGGTTAGTTCTTTGATATTTCCATTTCCAGTTCCAGTTCTTTCCTAGTTCTGGTTCTGGCAGTCCTCATTCCTGGCAGTTCTCGGGGTCTAGGTCCTCAGTTCTGAAAAGGCAAAAACAAGTCTTCGTGGCTCAGTAGGTTAGAGCGTTGGTCTCATACATTTCCATGATTCAACCTGTAGGTTGGGATATCCAAAGGTCGTGAGTTCGAACCTCACCGAGGACAATATTTTTGCGTTATTAGCCATGTTGCGTTTATGGTACAATGTGGTTGGCTTTTTTTTTTTTCCTCATCTCATATACTTTAAGTACTGTGGGGAGGTACGATGCATAAACAGATATATAAGATTTCCACTACCTAGTTAAAAGTGAGGTGCATAAAAATCTTTATAATACAACAGATGTGCTTTCCTTTTACATCATTTACATATGTATCTATTAGTACATATGTAGGTACATGTACTTATCACCTATAGCATAGGTGCTTTTTTTTTTGCTGGAAAAGCACCTCGCCAAAGGTACCTACGTACCGTAGCTGACCTCAGCTTAAGCCTAGAGGGAACTAATCCGCTAGTCGGCTTGGCGGAATTGGTTCCGCTCACCCCTCAAAATTTTTGAATTTCTTTTGGAAATTCATTCACACAATTAATTTGCGCCCCACGTCGTGATACTTGAATTCACCATCGCGAGCCGACAATTTTACCAGTTCAAGGAAAACATGCCGAAGGCGACCACACCAACTGCTGTCCGTCAAGGACGACGGCATAACCCCCTCGAGGATGATCTCGTAGCTACGGGACCCCTACGCGCAAAGGCTCCCAAGAGGAAGTCTAAAAGCGGCGACGACGACGAAGAACAAGAAAACTACATAGACTCTAAGGCATCGAGGAAAATCTTGAAGATCGGCCGAGAGTTAGCAGAAGAAATTGATGTTGCACCTCCGCGACCGCCGAAGGAGAGCAATGCATTCGGTTTCGATTCTCGGTTTGACGAAGATGGTGAAGATAACGAGGCGTTCGAGGACGAAGAAGTATGGGGCGATGAGGAGGAGATAGTAGAGGAGATCGAGATTGAGCCTGAAGACTTAGACACATTCAACAAGTTCTTACCTACGGATGACGACCCGTTACTGACACATGGTTGGGGAGGTCAAGCATCTGCACAGCAGCAAGGTTCGGGAGCCAACCTTGCCGATTTGATCCTAGCGAGGATAGCGGAACACGAAGCTGGAAACGACAGAGGGCGGGAACTGGGGCCTGTGGATGACGACTATGAGCTATCGCCGAAGATTGTAGAAGTGTATACAAAGTAGGTTTACTGGATTCTACGACGAGTCTATTTAGCCTTATTAACCCTGTATAGGATCGGGTTGATATTATCGAGGTATAAGTCTGGCCAACTCCCCAAACCGTTCAAGATTCTGCCGACGGTACCTCATTGGGAAGATATCATCGAATGCACGAAGCCTGACCAGTGGACCCCGAACGCGTGCTACCAGGCTACGAAGATCTTTGTATCCAGTAACCCGATCGTCGTCCGAAGATTCATGGAGATGATCCTCCTCGAGCGCGTGAGGGAAGATATCCACGAGACGAAGAAGCTAAATGTACATTTGTTTAATGCCCTTAAGAAAGCGCTTTATAAGCCCGCGGCATGGTTCAAGGGCTTCCTCTTCCCTCTCGTAGAGAGCGGCACGTGCACCCTGAGAGAAGCCACGATCATATCCGCCGTCCTGGCTAGGGTTTCTATACCGGTGCTGCATTCCGGCGCGGCTATCAAGGGGTTGTGCGATATCGCAGCACGGGAAGCTTCTGCTGGAACAGAGGGTGGAGGCGCCACAAACGTCTTCATCAAGACCCTCCTGGAGAAGAAATACGCTCTTCCCTACCAAGTTATCGATTCCCTCGTATTTCACTTCCTACGCTTCCGAAGCGTGGATCCCGCGTCCGTCAGGGAAGGCGCTTCAATGGACATAGGCAGTGAACGAGCGGCTATGCAAGTGAAGCTACCGGTGATCTGGCACCAATGCCTGTTAGCCTTTGCGCAGCGGTACCGCAACGAGATCACCGAGGACCAGCGAGAGGCCCTCCTAGACCTCCTATTAACGCATGGACACCACAAGATCGGACCAGAGATCCGAAGGGAATTGCTAGCTGGTCGTGGCCGAGGAGTCGTGGTCGAGCAGCCGGAATCGGCGTTTGATGGAGACGATACTATGGTGGTCGATGGATAGACGTGGGTGATCTTGGGGGTAGTTAACCGTGCTAGACGTGATACCAACGAAAATACGGATAGGCATATTGGTGTTTAAGGCGTTCTCTTCCGGGCTCATATGCCTGTCCTAGGAATGAATACACTTGCGATTTTAAGTCTTTACTGCTTTTTCATTTCAAGCTGCGTTGCATATGACTACGAATAACCAATGCGTATATACTACTAGCCCAATAATAGTGACCTGCCTAGCACGACAGAACATTAATTAAGGGAAATATAGCTACAAGGTTGAGTTCGAGCATTACAATCTAATCTACCCCTTCATGCCATGAAAACCACCAAGCCACGGCCTCATTGGGTAGTGTATCTGAAAGGTCAGGAGTGCCCTTTAACTTTCTCGACTTTGGGCATGTTGGTTGGTTGCCTGGGAACCGTGTAGCTAGGTACGTAAAGTACCTGAATTGTCATCATCTACGCATCACGAAGCTAGTTATATCTGAAAGGATAACACCTCCGAAAGCCTTGATGTGATGGATGCGCTTTCGGAATTTCGTGGGTATCGTAAGGACTTTCGAAAAAAGAAAGAAAAAAAAGAAAAGGTCACGGCTGGAAGTAGTAATACATAAACCCCCTGTACAGGCGACAACGGTACTATTACTACACCTACTCGTCGTCTTTGCTCTTCCGCTTCTTTTTCTTCTTCTTCTCCGACGACCCGTTTTCTTCTTCCGGCGCGATGAAGTCTTGTTCTCGCTGGCGCTTCTTCTCCTCCTGCTTGACCTTTTGCTGCTCCATGCGCTCCTCGTGGGCGATGCGCTTCTTGGCCTCCTTGGCGAGGTGGTACTCACCGGCCTCGATCTGCATGTCGACCTTGCTCTTCTCCTGGGCCGGCGGGAAGGGCGTGTATACTTTCTTGCTCTTGTCCGTGACCCTGTACGGCACTATGCGCTTGCTTAGACTGCGCTTCTTGTAGTTGGGCAGGAACCGCTCCCAGTTCTCGTGCGCTAGCTCCGGGTCCTTGGCTAGCTCCCGCTTGATCATGAGCTCCTTGATCTGGTAGATCGGATGGATGTTCGCCATGCAGTCTTCTACTACTCGGCGCACTTCCTTAAGCCCCTTGTAAGGTCCAAGGACACTAACGGTGTTTCCTTGGACGAGGATGTAGGTCTGTGTGAGGAGCTCGAGCGCTTTTAGGGTTTGACCGTTTGGTCCGAGGATTCTTTGCCGTCGCTTTATGAACTTGTCCTTGTTACGCACTAGGTTTCTTATCTTGATTATATCGCACGCCATATCGTCCTGGAGTATTTTTAATGCTTGCGGCGCAGGTACGCTACGAGCTAGTAGTTTGATGAGGTCGCGAGCCTTAAGGATGGCAGCGGGGTCGTATGTCTTTCTCGTCGTCTTGACCGTCATGCATCCTGCCATCGCTTGGTCAGCGCTAATCTAGTAGGCAAGATGCTATTTCTTACCTTCGACAAGATCCAGTGTGCACGCGATGCCTTGTTGCTGGAGCGCCTGCGTCACGCCAGGCCATGCCTCCTTCAAATAAACTTCACGATATCGAGGGAATAGGCTGATGATAGGTTAGTTTCTGGAAGTTACACCTTGGATTTCAGCTAGGGGCACTTACACTGCAAATGAGGATTCTTCCGCAAAGGTTCCACCAGCATTATCTGAAGGTTTGAAGGGTTCGACTTTCCACTTGTCTGATAGTCGTGTTAACTAGATATTATAAAGAATAAGTTTTCGGTTTCATGAGAACTGACCTATATCGTCGGTATCCCACGGCTTCTCTTTTTTATGTGTAGACGGCATCGTGATGGTGCTGATGTCGTATAGAACTTGGATTTGCGATGCAAATGAAGATAAGTGATTGGCAATGGTGAATGATTGGGACTTTTTTTTTCTTTAAACATCGGTAGTCGGAAGTTTTTTAATGGAGACTCTTAGCCCCTCCAGTGGTCGAGCTAGAGTGGATACTGATTTGGGTACCAAGGTACACAGAGGCTCTACAATAGGATTATTAACGTTATGACATGTAGCAGTTATGGAAGACTGTCCTTAACAAAGTATACAATCTATATTAAAATCATGGCTACTTAATCCTTTTGATGTGACGGCTTAAGTAATGCTAAGAAAAGATTAAAAATAAAGATACTCCGTTTCATTCAAGAGCTATGCGTTTAGCAATTATCTTGGTAGTTAACTATCCTTCTTCGATAATATAGATATTATTTGGGAAATATGGCACTGTGAGACAAGATTGGAATAAAAGAAAAAAAAATGATATGGTCGGCTAGGGAATCGAACCCCAGGGTCTAAGGATACTTCATAAGTATATTTGTTGTATTAGGTTGCGGAATAAGGAAGTTCTTAGGTTTGGAGGATGTGAATGTTTCGCTTGACCGTACCAACCCGACCTTTTGGTTATTCATTAAAGACCCCCTAGGCTGTTTAGATATATAAGTTTTACTTCGGACGGGTGAATATAGAGATATAGAAAGTAGCTTGATATAAGATTTATATGGCTGTGCTTTGATAAACTCTACACTGCGCATAGGCGTGTGCTTCTCTCCATGGCTGGTGATAGGGACATCGCCACAAGAGCGTCTATTATTGATGGCTTGGTGTTCTTTTTGCTTCGGTATTTGCTTCTATTTGTATAACTACTCCTTATGTAATGCATAGTTGGAATTCCTCACCTGAACAGGGGATGATTTTGTAGAGCTGAGCTGTTAGTCTATAGAAAACATTACTCTTATGATCCGTTTTTTCTGTGGGTGTTAAAGTCAAGGACTTGGAACACTTGTATAATGGGTACATTTGTTGCGCTCCTGGTAGCAACACCACTGACTACCTACTGCTTATATGTGGCTCTAAGGCGGCTATGGGTTGATACTATCCTTCTATACTTGTAGACTTTGGAAGACGAACGAATAGCAAATAAAATGAAATGCAGGAAATTAAAACAGCTCTTCGTTTAATTCTCGAATCTTATCTTGATAAAGGCTACATTGATAGGTAGTCAAAAGACTTGATTCTGGAGCCGTCTATAGCTCCTTTTTTGAGTTGGTCTACGCTGGCTTATCTACGAAAAGATAAATGCTACCCCACAAATCGTCGAACTGTCTCTGAATCGGGGAACCGGGAGATATGTATATAGTGTACGAAGTATAATATAAGATAAAAGGCTATATGATAGGACATAGCGAAGACAAGCTGGCGAGATAATAGGAGAGAAGCCTAAGGTGCCAGTCGGTGTAATTATTATACAAATGCAGGACTGCATATACAGCGCCTTACCCGATCAGGACTAGAAAGATACCTTAGAAGGCAGTTTGACAGGGGAATTAAGGTAGCCAATTGTAATCCAGATGATCTTAAAAATCCTTAGCGTCTACATAGATTAGAAACAATTTTCCCGTCGCCAAGAAAATGAAGTCTAATCTACGTATTGTACATAAACGTAACGAAAAAAGCAAGTAAGGAGAGTATGTACTTTCCTTAATAATATCTACCAGGATATACATCGTATCTTAAGATAACAACAATAAATATTTTTTTTATCAAATTTCTGCGTGTCTACCCATCCTACATCGAGGCTCAGGGGATTTTTTTTCATTCTCTCCTGGCGCGTGCCATCTTACTTACATACCTTTCCTTTTCTTCCGTATAATTTCTTACTTCGAAGTAATTGACTGACTGACTGATGTTACCTACTCATACATATCTATTTGGACGAATTTTATGAGTTGCCATCCTTTTTAAGTCTTCTCTCCGTTGCTCCACTCTTGAGCTACGAGCTTCCAATCGGTTCGTCCTGATTTACGATTTACGGTCCAGTATACAGTGGGTTTTTAGTACATCTCTTACAGTGCCTACCTATGCGTGTTGTTTCTTTGCAACCACCTACATTCAAAAGTCGTTTTCATACCGCTAGATTATTGGCGGTCAAGGTGTGACGCTCCTGTTATTCGCGCCGATTAATACCCGCCCTCGATTCCTGTCTTAACCACGATCGTTTCGTCCCGAGGAGACTCGGGGCCTTGAAATTTTACCCACCACGGCGTCCTCCACACTGGCATCATTACAGGCAAATAGCAATCTACCACCAATCACCTCACCGGTCCCGACACGTACGGCATCACCAGCATTGCCACCTATCAGATCAGTCATGGAGGAGGGCACGGTGCCGTTACCGGCAACCCTTGACCCAATCTCGCGTCCGAGTTCGACTTCTTCGACGACAGCCTCGGTAGCACAGCTTCCAGGCGTTTCCGCGTTGGCAACCGCGGGATCAGCAACTAGCTCGCCGCAATTGAGGTGAGTTTACAGCTGAATAATTATATGATTTTGTACCAAAGTCTTTTTGGGAGGTGAAAGGGGGAAATTGTCATGGCAATGGTTTTATATCTCAGGAGGGGGTTACGACTGGCCTGCGTACCTATGTTACCAGGGAGACAACGAAATAGACATCTCAAGGATTCAACACCGAAGTGTACACCTGGCGGCGGTATTGTCACCGTAACCTTAGTCACTAGGAAGCGTCAGTATGCCCGTCAATGGTGCAGGTGCAGGTGCAGGTCTCGTTGACTTGCTTCCACGTATTTTAACCCTTCGCTACATCTTGAGTCGCGAACACTGAACTGTTTATGGCAACTTAATCGCAACCTCGACCTTTAAGAACACATACCTTTTCCAACATTACATACGTACCTACATACACACATACATACCTACATTGGCGATATCCATCATTCTAACTTGTGATTATCACATACAGAGCGGCACATACACCAGTTCCCCAAATGAATTCCTCTCCTGCAGCACACGCTCCGACAGCGTCGGGTAATTTGGTGAGTTATTGAGCTTTATTCTTTTATCTCAGCACCTCTTCTTTCTTTTTTCCCTTTTGAGCATGACGCGCATTATTAGTTTGATATCTTGGAAGTTGGGCTATATGCAGTGGAAGGGCAAGTGGAATGTTGCATTTTGTTGCATTCTGCTGCATTCTGCACCTGTTGATTTACCAAGGTTTCGACGCGGGATAAGTCCAGACATGTGCCGTTAAGTGTACAATTAAGTGTACAGGTAAGGAGGCTTTCTTGCCTATGCACATCTGTATGCTGTTGACATGAAAGGTGGAAATCCCCCCCTTCAATTCGGACGTGGAACCTTCGAACTTTGGGAAATCGCAGGTATCGCACGTACCCTTGTATATACAAGGGTTGTACCTTGCTACGATTGGTTGAAACCTTATCAGCACCCACTTTCTAGAAATTCTTCAATCTTTCCCGTCTATCAGTTCTATCGGTTCTATCAGTTCTATCAATTCTATCAATCAACCTATCCTTCCCTATCGATATCTCTCCCCAGTCTCCCGTCGCGATACTCTATCCGCCGGTATAACCCTCTTTCAACTGAAAGCTTCATTACTCATTTTCAAAATGATGGCCTCACACCCCACAACAGCTGCAGGCGCTAACGGTGATACTCCATCTACGCAGCCGACTTGCCAGAATTGCGGTACTTCAACTACTCCGTTATGGCGTCGCGACGAGACGGGATCCGTCCTATGCAACGCCTGCGGCCTATTCTTGAAGCTGCACGGCCGCCCGCGTCCGATTTCCTTGAAGACCGACGTTATCAAGAGCCGAAATCGCGTAAAGACAATGCGCCCGGACATGCAGGTAAAGAAGAAGGTATGGAACATGCCCCCTTTAAACCCCGCCCGCGGAAATCATGAAATCATAAAATCATGAAAATATGAAATCATGTCCACAATGCTTACAACTCTCTGCAGCAAAGCCTCCCTGCTAGTACCAACGGTAACAACTTCAACCACGATAACGCAACCGCCGCCCTTGCCGCCGTTCGCGCGAACCAACAGAATGCCACAAACGGACATGGCCACGGTACAGACTCGCCCGTGTCGCGCACAGCGACCCCGTCTATATATGATCCCCATCTGACTGCTTTCCAAGCTATGGATCATTTCCAGTCGGACGGTCTAACTCAGTATCCCCTTCCCGACGGCTCTCCTAGCCACCAATCCCCTATGAACGGCGACCAGCAGATCACCGATGTCCCGCAGACTCACGAGCAGTTAATTGCCGCCAACTCCAGCCTGAAGACGCGCGTTAGCGAGCTCGAACTTGTCAACGAGCTGTACAGAGGCCGATTGCAACAGCTGGAACAGGATATGCAGACCGCCGATAACTACCGCCATTCTGCCGAGAACTCCGCGAAGGAAGCTGCTACAGAGCGCATGCAACGTGAAGAGATCCAGCGACAGCTGGAGGATAGCCATAGGCGAGAGAACATCCTCAAGAGGCGACTTGATGAGATGGAACAAGAGAACCAGGAACTGAAGATGAAGGTAGAGGAATCCGAGTCAGAGCGCGCTGCGAAGAAGCCTAAGCTGGACCTGGACGAGACGAAGGTTGAAGAGACAGAAGTGCCGACACCGCAATCTGCATCCTAGGGAGCAGTTTTGGATCCTTCTCGCTTACGTTCAGTGATACCTTTTTACTATTCGTTTCCTATCTGTAATATTATCCTCTCACGACTTTCCTTGCGTTAATTTTTTAGTTTTCTTTGTTCCGCAAATACAGACATAGGAGGATGCAGAGGCATATCGGACTCAGGCAGGTCTACGGCTTCGTTAATTAGTTGATGTGGAACGAGGAACTCGCAACGGTGGCCCTTCGCATCGGCACGGTCAAAATCTTGAGCAGTATTGAGAGGTGGATAAACTTCATCATGATGATGGGACGGCTTGGTCTTTATGGCTATCAACCCCATGGTAGTTATTAGGAGGACGGGGAATACGAAAGGAGTTCTAAGGAGTCACCAAAGTTGCCGGATGCTAACCCACCGGCTAATGGTCAATAAAAGTTCAATTGCATTTCTGACAATGATGCTAGAAACTACCCTTCGTCTATAATTATTTTGGTTCTGAGCTACTAAGTGAGATGAGATAAATATGCTGAACGCTTGAGCTTGGAGTTGTGTATTATCTCGAAGATAGAGCTTCAAATAATAGATAATCTCGAGTAATGCGATATGCTTGTGCCACTTACCTAAGGGTTCTATCTCTTCTAAAGCTTTTAAATGCAAGTGGCCGTCTATCAACTTTCCGGGGTCATACAGAGTAGTTCATCTTTTATTAACTACCTGTGATAATCCTAATGTTGTGTGGAGTAATCAGTAACTGCAACATATTCTTCGCATGGTAGTATTATACACATTGCGAATGTAAAGTTTCCAGTGGATTTTCCAACCTCACGCTCGCTATTTTCTATGTATTATCACTTGGCCCCTTTCCTTCGTCCGCTTTCGACTTGCCCTTAAACCCCATCAGCTCACCAATGACGCCGCCCGGTTTGGGCACGGGGCATTCTCTTTCTTTCCTTGCCCTCGTAGCAATGCCGCCGGTCTCAGTAGCGACCCTTTCCAAGTCCTCGGTCGGGCTTTCGAACTGGACGATGCCGTCCTTCACGACCGCCGGCTCGGGTTTCCTCCGTCGCCGCCGCCTCGTGCCGTCTGCGGCTATTTCCGAGTCGGCGTAGGTCACCCGCGGCGCGGGACAGGGCAGAATGTGCGGGAGCGTCACGACGAAGAAACTTGCTGCTACGGTCGTGGCGAAGAGCGAGGAGGTCATTCGCGACCGCGGGTGTAGGTGCGGCGGCATAGTGCGGGCGAGTTCGAGGAGGAGTAAAAGCTGAATGTCAGAAAACTTGTTAGCAACTGGGGATCCTTTGTAGGTGCGGGCTTGGAAATGGCCAATTGATGCAATTAAGCTAGGGGCGTACTTAGATTATGCCTGTATGGTCCCGCGGCATGACGATTGGAAGCTAGAGGCTAGAGGACGGGTGAAGGTTGCGATACTCGTTGCTGTTGTCTAAGGTAGCGCATCCAAGAATTCATTATCTGAATTCCAGCTTCAATGCCAAATCCCACGGACCCGATTCGCGGTCTTATCCGAAGAATTGCCAGATAAGGTGGCAGGGTGGGCATGGTGGGACGACTTATGTATTAAACAATGACAGCTTATCGATTTTACATATTACAGAATTCCCAAGAGCGCAGATTACCTAGGTAGGGTCAGAAACGGCTAGTAAGGGGGAAGCTGCAGGCAATTGAGGGGCCCTGACCCGCTAAAAATGACTTCAGAAATTGAGTGCCGGTACCATATCGCGCTCAGTGCATATAGTACCTAAAGTACCTAAAGTACCTAATTTTCTAATTTTGGATTGTCAACTGTACAATACTATGTGAGATGCCGCACGCGACGAACCGAATCTGTCGCGAACCACATCTCCATATCCCCCATATCCCAATTGCATAGCATAGAGAAGAACCGTATCGCACATCACGACTGCAGTAGTTATCTACGTACACCTCTTAGACCTACTAATCATCCTGATAATGTTATGAAAACGACCATACGAGTATTCAAAATTACCCCCTGGCTCGGCGTTAGCTTCGATTGCAGCCTCGGTCCTATCCCCTTAGCATCTACTCCCAGCCGTAGACATGAGCGACCTTGATAAGTACGGTGCCCTCTATGGATATATGGATATATATGGATATACACACGGCGCGAGACATGTGCTAACCATATGAACCTATACAGAGCGATCGCTCAACTCCGAGCATGTCGTCCGATCCCCGAGGCGCAAGTTAGGGAACTTTGCCATAAAGCCCGAGAGCTCTTGATCGAAGAAGGAAATGTCGTTACAGTCACAGCTCCCGTAACGGTATGCCTTAGTCCAACACAATGGTATAATATCGGAAAATATCTCTGACTTAATGCGCGCAGATATGTGGTGACATCCACGGACAGTTTCACGATTTAATGGAACTTTTTAGGGTCGGGGGCGATCCTCCAGACACAAACTACCTTTTCATGGGTACATATTCCAAGCGCGATACCCACCCTTTACCAGATAGCATCTCTGATCAAGTGTACTCATATAGGCGACTTCGTCGACCGTGGCTTCTACTCGCTAGAATCCTTTCTCCTACTCCTCTGTCTAAAAGTCCGCTATCCCGATCGTATGACACTGATTAGAGGCAACCACGAGTCTCGTCAAATAACGACGGTTTATGGATTCTACGACGAGTGTCTTCGAAAATATGGCAGTGCTAACGTGTGGAGGTATTGCTGCGACGTTTTCGACTATCTCGCCCTCGGAGCTATAGTGCTCAACGCGTCGAATACCCTCTCGCCTCCCAATGAGATGACACCTAGCGAGGAATATACCCAGCAGGATATTGAGATTGAAGTGTGCAATGCGGATGGGGATATCATGAGCCGATTCATGAGACGAAACAGCGATCAATCCATAGACCGCGAGCGGAAAAGCCCTAACGGAACTCAACCTAAGACTGGTCCTCCAGGGTCAGGCGCGTCGGGCTCCAGTGGGGGCACCATTGGCAATCCGACAGGAGCAGTTTTATGCGTACACGGCGGTTTGTCACCCCTGATCGATACGGTGGATAAGATCCGCCTATTAGATCGCAAACAAGAAGTACCTCACGAGGGCGCCATGTGCGACCTCTTGTGGTCTGATCCGGACGAGATTGACGGCTGGGGTCTGTCGCCACGCGGCGCAGGCTTCCTCTTTGGCGCGGATATTGTCAAGGTCTTCAACCATAAGAACGACCTTTCGCTCATCGCGCGCGCCCACCAGCTCGTCATGGAAGGTTTCAAGGAAATGTTCGATGCGAGCATTGTTACGGTTTGGTCAGCGCCCAACTATTGTTACCGATGCGGTAACGTGGCCGCCGTCCTAGAGTTATCCGAGGACCCGACCGGAGAGAGCTTTTTCGCGCGCAGCAACGGTGATGTGGGCCGGAGCGATGGCGGAGTAGAGGGTGTTATGATGGAGAGCGAGAAGAGGCTCAAGAACGGCCCAGCAAGGAGATATCGCGTATTCCAGGCGGCGCCGCAAGACTCCAGGGGTATGCCTGCCAAGAAGCCGGTAGCAGATTACTTCCTATAGGACCCCCCCTGGTGTAAGGACTGGATTGTATAATACGAAATGGTTGGCAGCAACGGACGTGGCATTCCGCTTAAGACGGACCATCAACAGTGTTTTACCCCTTTTGGTATGATACCTGGCGGAGTTCCGGAGACATATCACAGAAAGAAGCAGATTTCGGATTAATGATTAACTAGGCGGCGTATTCTGGTCTCTCATGAGAATAGATGCAGAGGAGATATCCATGTAATGAATTATACTAGGATATATTCCTGTTCAGCCTACTGGCACATTTTCACTGCAGTGAACGGGATGGGACGAGACGATTCGGCGTTGACGAATAGGAATACTAAAGATGATTTATTCTACAAAGGAAATAAGAAAATTCTGCCGTGTAGATGTGTAAGTGCCCTCCCCTGCACACAATGTCTAAACTATCCAATTTCTCCCATCATACAATCTAATCTTCCTGACATTATTCCATAACCCCCTCCTCCTCTTGTTGTTGCTGTTTATCTAGTTATACGTCATTCAGGTCCCCATCGAAATTCCGTCTTGCCATCCATCTATGTTGTGTGTGTATCCATCTCCTTGTCGTCCGGCACATGTGCCTGCCTACCAGTCTTACCTTGAGTCCATCCACCCCTTCCCGTCAAACACTGTCGAACCCTGCCTCCGTCTCCTCACAGCCTACGCCCCTCCCCTAATCCACACGCACCCCCCCTGATTAGATCAGATCAGCAGATCAGATCAAAACCCGCCGGTCCGTCGTGTTATCAAAGACAGGCCGCAGACACCCCGGGATGGCGTCGGCGCGCCCCACGGCCATGGTGCCCCCCCGCTGGACGATGGTCTGCGAGGCCATGACCGCGGTGCGGTGCGCCCGCGCGAGGTACTTGAGGTCCGGCCAGCCGTCGTGGTGCGGGACGACGGCGTCGGGCGGCAGCTTGGCGGCGGCGGCGGCGGGGTCGTCTGGTGGTGGTTGCTTGAGGGGGCCGCCTGGTTGGATGGTGGGTTTGGGCCAGGGCAGGGGGTTGGGCCAGGCTTGGGGAGGGGGGGCTGGAGCTGGAGGGGGAGTATGTGCGGGTGCAGGTGCAGGTGTAGGTGTAGGTTCGGGTGCGGGTGCGGGTGCGGGTGCAGGAGTTGGCTTTATTTTTGGTCTTGGTCTTGGTCTAGGTCTAGGTCCAGGTTTAGGCGCAGGTGCCGGTGCCGGTGCGGGTACAGGAGCAGGAGCAGGAGCTGGTGCAGGAGCTGGTGCAGGTGCCGGTGCCGGTGCCGGTTCGTTCTTGACAGGCTGCTCCGAGGGAGTCGGTGGCACGGGGGGCGCGTCTTTTTTGCCCTCTTTGCTGTCTGGTCTGATCTTAACACCCGAGACAGGCGGCAGAGCGTTACCCTTGGGGATGACGCTCGGCCGGTCCTTGCGCTGTTGCGGCGGTGGTTGAGGGGTGGGATCCTGTGCTGGTGCTGGTGCTGGGGTAGGGTCCTGCGCTGGGGGAGGCGGAGAGGGAGGCCGGTGCCTCTGGTCTCTCGGTTTTCTTTCACGCCCTATGTTTATCCTAGTTACCCTACCTCTGGGTCTCTTGTCGTACAAGGGGGGTAGGACCTTGACAGGCTCGTTCTTGACTGGAGGATCCTGCTGTGGGTTGGACTCGGGAGGTTCGAAAACATCACCAATAGGTATGATGTTGCGCCGGCGTCCATCTTCCCCTCTTCGTGTGATTGTCTCCTGTTGCTGTTGCTGTTGCTGTTTCTGTCTCTGCTGGTTTCTCCTGACCCTATGTCTGTCGCGGGGTGGGATGGAGGCTGTGTAGGCTATTGGGCCGGCATATGTGGATGGATCGGCGTCATCGATGGGGTCCTGAGTAACGTCTTTAATTACCTGGGAGGTAGCAGCTAGAATCAGTTGGCTATCGCTAAGATCAAGAATAGGGGCGAACATAGTATTACCTTTTTTTTTGGCGGCGGCAACGCTGTGCTGCTGCGTCGCCTTGTTAATCGCGCTTCGTCTGAAGTCGTAGAAGTCTTGCTCTGTCTTATCCCACTGCGACTTTTCCTCTGCGGTGAGCCCTTCTAGATATTTCTCGAACCGTTGGTCTACGACATCGCCCCAGTCACTCCAGTCCCAGTATCTGGGATGTTTTTGAGGCAGTTTCGAGATCTTCTTTGGGCTGGGCAACTTTTTCACTCCGGAGTCGAGTGTTTTCTTGGTGCGAGGGGTGACCTTCGTCTTATAAGAGGACCAAGGAAAGGTCTGCTTTTGCGCTGTGTTCTGCTGCGCATACTTGGTACTAAGTGATTCCAATGATGCATCCGGGGGCGGTTGAGGCGATGGGTTTACTATATTGGAATACATGGCCTTGGCGACATCATCTAGGCTTGCTTGAATGGCCTCATATTCCTTATAAGCAGTGTCCTCGTCCACTCTGCCTTCTACAGGAAGCGAATCGTAATAATCTTCGAACGTCATGTTCGCAACATCATTCATATTCCACTGATGGGTGGCCCTGCTCTCAGTCCAGCCTGGCCTTCTGGTGTTCGAATACACCGGAGACGGCACCGGGGGTTGATCTTGAGGGGGTTGGGGCTGGGGCTGGGGCCGGGGCCGGGGACGCTCTCCAGGTGTATTGTGCGTCTTATTGATATCTGTTACAGTACTCTTGATAAGATCGTAGTTTGCCTTCGCAGCAGCCCGGTCACGTTGGAGACGGGGCGGCAGCGATGCGAGATATTGCTCGAAGGTCATCGTTGGCAGCTCGGACCAAGCCCAAGCGCGAGCACGAGACTGCACCTGTGTCTGTACAGACGGTACCGGCTGTACTGGATGTGCTGGCGGCGCTGGCGGCGCTGGTTCCACTGGCCGTACCGCCGGTACTCGTGCTGGCGGCTGTACCGGCGGGACAATCCGAGCTGTTCGATTCACGTTAGTCCTCGGGCCCCGGAGAGGGTTTCGGCGAGAGCGAGTTAGACGGGAAGTGGAAGGGTGAATGCGCCCAAGCGGCGGTGTGGACTCCTCCACGGCTATGTCAACAACCGAACGACCCGGTCGGCTCTGAATCAGGCGGCGGATAACCGGGTTAGGCCGAGAGTTACGAGGCCGAGGTGCGTAAGGAGGGTCAGGACTCTCAGCCCCAGATTCTTCTTCCGACAAGTTGACGACGGGAAAGCCAGCGCGGTACTGTTTAAAGACTTGAGACTGACCTTGATTGTTGTCCTTCACAGGAGCCGGAGCCGGAGCCGGAGATGGGGAATCGGGTTCAGACACAGGTCGAGATCGAGGCGGCGGAGGTCGAGGCCAGACCTTGGGCTCAGGTTGGGGTTGAGGTCGGGGTTGAGGTCGGGGCTGAGGTTGAGGCCGTGGCCGAGGTTGGGGCTGAGGCTGAGGCCGAGGTTGAGGTTGAGGTTGAGGTTGGGGTTGGGGTTGAGGTTGGGGTTGAGGCTGAGGATCAACCAGTGGCCTAGGAGGAATTACAGGACTCTGCTTAACCTCCGGCTCGGTCTTCACAGGTCCAGTCGTCTCACCGGCAGCATCAAGAGTGAGAGGGTCATAGCCGAGGTCATCCGGACCACCCACGAGGACCCTGGGAATCTTCGGTGCCGGGCGGTCGCCAGGCAAGTTACCGGGTGCGAGACTTGTAATATTGGTAGGGAGATCCTTGTGGCCTTCGAGCCTCTTAGTAAACTTGTAGAGCTCATGGGCCGGTGCCGGGACCTCGATACCGTTTTGGGCACTCCTACCGATATTCTTTCCCGGATTCAGGCTTTTCATGTTGTCGATCTCGATGTCCAAATTCCAAATCATATGGTTGTACATCTTGATGTTGTCATTGTTCGCTCTTATCCTCGGTGCGTCCCCCGGGTCGCCCCCGTCGAGCAGGTTGTTGGCGTCAATATAAGTCTGGAGAGTCTTTTCGTATACCAGACGCAATTGTTCGAGCGCGATACGACTTTGACGGAAGCCCGAATTGCTCGAATTGCCGTTTGTACTAGTCGAGGGACCAGGATTGACAGTATTCGATGTTTGCTCGCCTTCACTTGGATCCGACGGTTCGTTGGCTGAGCCATCGTTACCTGAGGGGTCATCCTCTGGCAACCCGAATTCACGCTTGAGAGGCGAACTGTCATGAGGCGTGTGCGTATGCTTTAACTTAAATCGCTTTTCTTCTGCCTCTTTTTTGACGGGCCTTTTTTTAGACCTCTCCTCCTCGGCTGTCTCGGGGAACGCCTGTAGGCCATGCTCCTCGAGTTTTGAAAGTATTTCTCCATATTCCTCGATCTGCTCATCCCAGTAAGCTCCCAGGGCCTTTCGTAAACGGATACGGGTAAGTATTGCATCCCTTTCAGTCGGACTGGTGCGCGTCCAGTAGATTCGGAATTTATCGTACTCCCCCCACAACTCTTCATGCCTCTTCAGGGCTTCTAGATATTCGATCTCTGCAGAAACTAAGTCGTTGATTTTTATTTCCTCGAGATCTAGAAGCTTATTATGCAGAATGAGCCGAATGATACTGCAAAGCATCACGGTGAAGGCCTCCAGTATCGCTCCAATGATTCGTTCCTCCCCCTCGGCCGGGGTGTCGAATTTAAACCGGTTCTTGCCTACAACATCTTTCCGAACCCAGTCATGGATAAATGCTTGCCAATCTACCCTCATAGAATCGATAATTGAGTCGATTTCCGTTAAGAGGGCCTTGATATCCGGGACCGTGTCGTACTCTTTGGCAGCTTCGTACCGCGCGCTCTGCTTCTCGATCTCGGATTTGAGGCCACGCGATAGCCTATCGCGCAATTCTTCACTTATAGCTGAAGATGGCACCATCATAGGCCCCTTAACCTTGATATCTTCAAGCTTTTCGGGAGCCTCCGTTAAATCTACTTTTGCAAGCAGTCGAGCGTCTCCCCACATCTGTCTCGGTCTCGTCCATCTAACGCCAATCCGCCTCTTTATATTGCGGGTTTCAATCTTGAGTGCCCTAGACGAAGGAGTGCCTGCATCAGAAGGGCTCGGAGCAGCTCCTCCTCGCATCCTTCCGTAACCGTCGGGTGGAGTATTTCCTCCTAGAATGTTTCTGACTTCGTTGAAGCATGGGTTGCCATTCATGGGATCCTGATCAAACCTATTCTCTTCGTCATTCCATGTGGCAGACACATAGCGAGGCGCATAATGCCGGCGGATATTTGTAGAATGAATATTCTCGCGGGCCCTAAATGCACCGAGATGATTCCCCAGGCCGATTGCCTCGAGGGCTCGTTTAATGAAGTCGAAGAGGTGGTTAACCTGCTGTTTAGATCCGTCAAACCCCGGATTGTATCTGTAGAAAGTCTCACACTCCTTGATGATATCTACGAATTTTTGATTAACAGACAACTTCGAATTATATTCCCCATACCAAACACCCGCCCGGTCCGGAATTGGCTCGGCAATACCCTGTGCCATGCTAGCTAGGGGATCCTCCCGGTCAGACATTGGAGTGGCATCGATGTCCTCATTGTCGTCACTCTCGCTCAAATATCCCCTGAGGGGGTTGTCAATATGGGTCGGCTGGTATGGCATATTGACTCTAGGGGAGAATTGATTTGTTTCGAATGATGAGCCTAGTCCATCATTCTCCTGTTTTCACAGTATCAGAAAGTGTCCGATACAATTATTGTCCTAGTTCATGTTTACTCGGAGAATGCTTACCCCAAGTACGTTCATCTTGTATGTTGCAGTCGATTACGGCAGGTTGACGAGAAAAACGCGACGGCGGGAGCCGCTCAAGTACACTGTCGACTTCCTATCCAATCCAAGCTCCACTCTAGCTTTCAGATTTATTTTGGTTTATTCGAACGATCAGAGATGATAGAACCTCAGTGCTGTATAAGTCAAGTTATTTGTGATTTTTTTTGAAGCCAGTTAAGAAAGGTGGCTCGAAATGTGGTATTATTTCACAACGAAGAGACTATTGATGCTTAATTCAGCTTCGGTAATCAGCAGATGAAAATTTACGTTGTCTATTATTTTATCGCGTAAATAATAAGAACCCTAGACAAAGAATTCATGTTCAGCTTTGTATAACATAGATCCATCGCGCTCTCACGCTGAAAACAGCGACTAGGCTAACACCGGCGTTTGCTTTCACACTACGGTTGCTTGCAGATGACTATCCCATAAATTATGAGACAAAGGCGCATGACTTTGTAAAGATGTAGGCTACCAAATGCGGCTGGTGGTGGTGGACGCTCTGGAATGTTCCAAGAATATAGGAGTAGCCCGCACTTAGAGCAGTCCCTGTCAGAAATTTAGCCCATCAAGTCGGATTCTATAAAGAGGTACTTACGCAATCCGCCCAGTAACCAGCCACGGTTGACTCAAAAAGACAAACAGCTGCCTTGCGAGTTGGGGGATATTTTTGAGGTCGATGGTAAACAGCCTGCATCATCACTATTGTTCGTGCCGTAGTGTACAGGGGAGACATAGTCTAGATGTGTCTGGCTATGTTGTAAAGTAGCAGGAAGTAGAGCGTCGGCTGCAATAGAGTCGATGGATCCCGTTGAAGTATGAGATAGATTTGAATACGGATCTGCCATGTGGCCTGTCTCGAAAGACTGCTCATAAATGGTATCATCTTGATGGCTAGAGCTTGTGCTACATTGGCTGGCGTGAACAAGGGGTTTGTCTGCCAGCTGGTTCAAAGTTTGTGTATATTGCGATAGTTCACCCTGAGCCTGGCATGGGTGTGTTTGTGATGATGATAAGTATCCTGTGCTTGCAAGACCAGCGGCATCCTGATCCAAGATCGCCACGTCGCGTAATTGAAGGTGTTCGTTGACGTTATCTGAAATGGCATCTAATTTCACTTGGTCGTATGTTGAGGAGCCGGTAATATTAGCATCAAGATTGCCGTATATGGGTCTGCTGGGTCTGCTGGGTCTGCTTGGTGATGGGAAAGCGGAGGTTACAGCTTCACCAGGATTGATGTTGCCACTTTGGAGAAAACAGTTTATCTTCTCGTCGTTAAACCCAAGAGTATTAAGAAGGATTCTCATTTTCTGATTGTGTTCCGCTACTCTCCGCGCGGCTCGCTGGATATGTGACGTAACCTCAGCTCCCTGACGCTTGTAGAGCCTTAGGCGTTCCTCGAGACTCTTCACGTACTCCTTACGCCGAGCACGAGACCTTCTTTGATTATCCCGAATCCTGTTAAGGCCTGCTTGGCTTTGCGATGACATATCGATTACTTAAAGGCGCACTAGAACCGTGATAAAATATTTCCTCGCCGAGTTGTTACCTATAAGGGATCTACCGGATGATTAACGCATAAGACGGAATCAAACTAGAAAGACACCTATCTAAGGAGCCTGGCTAAAGAACAGTCATCCACTAGATGCGATGAACCGCAGTCCTGGGAAAACCGGCCAAATACATACGGGCGCCTGTCAAAGCAACTCTCATCCCGTGTGAGGTAAGTATTGGCGATAAATCTTTGATCAGCCGGCGTCTGATAGGTAGTGACTTAGGAGCTGTTGAGCTGGGTATGTCAACGTGCATAGAATGTAGTTAAGAGTGTGATTAATTAGTTACTAAAAGTGAAAATGAGGATTATAAAGTTACTTGACTTGGCTAGATAGTCAAGTAAGATACAAAGCTATATTATTATCTTGAATGGACACCAGTCTGTAGATTGACTACAATTTGAAAGCATACAGTATACCCTCAAGCCCCTTGACTCTCATGCGGCAATACGCCTATCTCGTCTGTACATCCAGCCCGCTGGATCCTACATTACGCTACACTGTCAATACATGACTATTTGGTTGGTCGAAGTCAGGGAGGAAGACGTCCCTGTATATGCTTTCGACGAGATGCATCTATTGAAACCTAAGTAGCTACATTGATATCACGAGGACGTCACGGCATTTTGGCGCCACTTATTCTATTGCAGAATCTCGGAGCAGGTGATCCTAAATCGCATGCAACCAGGTGAAGCATATGCAAGCAACCAAAATATCTGTAGTGATTTGATTTCGTGCATATGCGGGATGGGTACTTGGTAGTGGAACCTATTAGATATATCTTGATCAGATATATCTTGGTGAATAGAGGTAAAATGTGAGCAGAGTATAACATTGTATCAACGAGGTTGACTAGGCTGTACCCGTTCAAGAAACATCATCATATATATGTATTGTTCTTATTTCATCGACGAGTCTTTAACAAAGAGTCCAGCTACATACCTTAAGTACCCAGCATATGTAAGTATTTTGCCCCTTGGGACACTGGAACGGCCGGGTATAAGTAGAAGGCTTGTGGCTGCGTTTTGGCGTATAATAGTTGTATTCTTCGGACAATTACGTATATCTAAGCTTTTAAGCTCAGAATAAGAATATCGATCCAGCACTGCGATAGCGATCGCTGCACAGTCGGTGATCATTCATGCTTGAAAGTAAATAGATGCTGAGTTCTCGGAGTAACAAATCACCGCTTTGCTTTTAAGGATTCTGATGTAATTTATATCCAGGACCGCCTAAGACATGCTGACCATTCTGTATCTAATTGGTTTATTATGTTTGAGGTGTGATATCGATTGGTAAAGTGTCAAGTATTTCTTTTTTTTTTGTAGAGGTAATTTGTATAGTTAACGGGCTAGTACATATAGTATCCATGAGTCGAAAGACTGGCTGGTAATGGAGTTGGAGTAAAAAGGAAGATGCTTTGTATGTGAGGGAAATCGGAAAGTGGCAATAGGGACGACATTTTAGAATGTTAAGTATGCTTGATATGGTCTAATGATCTTTATGGGCTAAGCCTCTCAAGAGACCATTCTTCAACACCTTCTTCCGTAGATATCTTCTTATCGTAAACAAACCGATCATGCAGGCGATTCTGTCGACCTTGCCAAAACTCCACACATTCGGGGATTATTCTCAAGCCACCCCAGAAGTCCGGAACCGGAATACTTTCCTCTCCTTCAAACCTCTTCTCGGTCTCCTTAACCCACTCGTCGAGTATCTTTCGCCCATCATCTTCCTCCTCACCACTAGTCGGTTTAAGGACCTGACTCTGGCGACTTGACCAAGCACCGATACGGCTGCCACGAACCCTGGTGTCGAAATATTTCTGGCTCTCTTCCCGGGTGAGCCTATTTGCCCTTCCCTCCACTCTCACCTGTCTCTCAAGGTCTTCCCACCAGAAGGTAAGGCTTGCCCATGAGTTTGTAGCAAGGTCCTGAGCCTTTTTGCTCGTACCGAAGTTACTATAGATAACAAATCCTTCGGCATCTAGCTCCTTTAGATAAACCATACGAGAAGATACACGGCCGGACGGCAGCGATGCAGTAGATAGGCAGCAAGTCTCTGGATGAGCAACACGACCGGACCGTTGGGCTGCGGCAAACCACTTGTGGAACTGACGAATAGGTGAGGTTGCATCAAGGTCTGAGCGAGTTAACACACCCCTTGTAAATTGTTCTGCTTGCCCATGAGCCTCTTTACCCGCGGGAGCGACTAACAATAATGTAAGCACACAAACTTGTCCAAGTATTATTTCGGGTGAAGCAGTGCTACACACATATTAGTTTACTATCCACACATGCTGAATGCAAAGCCATCCTGTGCGTAGTTGTCAAAAATCGGCAGGAAATTAAGACCATAGAGATGTAAGAATTAGGTAGGTTAGCCTTTTAATGCTGAGATGGAGGTGAAATGTGTTTAATTATGTTACATAATTATGGCAAGAGAGTCACGTTGTATAGGAGATAGGTAGGGAGGTATACATCAGGTATCTCATATGAGAAGACCTGCCGTACGACAAGCTGCGGAGCTCGCCTGACCTTTAATTTTAGCGCAGCTCTTTTTACTGGTCTCGGTGCCCTCTTTTTAAAGTGTAGACGTAACAGCAGGTACGAACCTTACCTGCCTTAGTATACCTCGTACATAACGTCAATTCCGTGCAACTACCTGACCTAGGTACATAATTTTACGTAGGTATCTTAGGTAATCCTGTACCATATGTACCTATGTAGATACCTAGGTAGGTATTTTTGATCTAGAAGGCTTGTTAAAAGGGAAGTGGTAAGTGCGAATAACCATGAGTTATTTACCTTATCACTAAACTATACCTTCCTACATCATAGTTTAGGGGGGCGAAACATAAACTTACAAAAAAAAGAAATATGGCATGTTGTACCATGACGATCAACAAAAAGAAAGGTCTCCCCGGGAATCGAACCCAGATTGGCAGAATCAGAATCTGCAGTGCTAGCCATTACACCAGGAAACCTAGATGTTGGATGGTCGTCAGCCAGGTATTATATACCAAGGTACCAATGCGTGAAAAAGAGCGCTATGTACATGCATGGATGTACATAGTGTACCTAGGTAGATTAGATACTTCCAAGGCATGAGGTACCTAGTGCGGAGAATTTTTCTAGAGATCTTGATAGAGGGGTTGCCTGCATTATCGTACATACCTAACCTACCTAGGTACCTACCTAAAGTACAGCGCTACATCTTGATAGCAAAACTTTTGGTGCAAGGTCAATGTCTGAAATTCCCCTCCGAAACTTTCGGTCTTTTAATCGAACTTTATTTTTATTTTCGTCATCTCTTCCATATATGTTTGGTTGAACCCTACGGTATCTTACAGTTTGGAAGTTAGTTAAATTTAATTCACCATGGCATCCGATACAGATACAATAGCAACTATCGCGAGCCTTCGCGAATCTCTTTGCTCCGAAGCTACCCCACTACCCGTCCGATTCCGCGCCCTCTTCTCACTTAAGCATCTCGCACGACACGAGACTGGTGACCGAGCCCTCGGAGCTATCGAAGCTATCGCGGCCGCCTTCGTATCCCCATCGGCGTTGCTCAAACATGAGCTGGCTTACTGTTTAGGCCAGTCCGCTAACCTAGCAGCCGTCCCCCACCTTCAGAAAGTCCTAGCAGATCTGCAAGAGGACCCCATGTGCCGCCACGAAGCAGCGGAGGCCTTGGGTGCTCTTGGAGATGCTGGTAACTTGGAGATTCTGCGCAAGTATCGCGATCGTGAGGGAGAGGACGTTGCTGTTCAGGAGACTTGCGAGATTGCTATCGACCGAATCGAATGGGAGAACTCGGAACAACGAAAGGCGGAGAAGCTTCACCAGAGGTATGTATATCTATTGGCAGGATAATTGACGATCTGTATGAGGGATATACATCCTAACTATCAGAAAACAGCGACTTCGCTTCTGTTGATCCAGCTCCTCCGATGCCCGACTCTACGCAGACTGTCCAAGAACTAGAGAAGAGCTTGATGGACACGAGCCAACCCCTCTTCCTCAGATACCGTGCCATGTTTGCACTCCGCGATCTTGCATCGCCGCCGGATCTCCCGACAGCTGTTCCTGCCGTCCTTGCCTTGGCCAAGGGATTCGCAGACCCGTCGGCCCTATTTCGCCACGAGATCGCGTTCGTCTTTGGCCAGCTCTCCCACCCGGCTTCGATCCCAGCCCTTACCGCAGCATTAAGCAACCTCAAGGAAGCTAGCATGGTGAGGCACGAGGCGGCAGAGGCGCTTGGAAGCCTTGGCGAGGAAGAAGGCGTCGAAGAAACCTTGAAGCGATTTCTTCACGACGAGGAGAAAGTCGTGCGCGAGAGTATCATCGTTGCTCTAGACATGGCTGACCACGAGCAATCAAACCAAGCAGAGTATGCGCTCATTCCGGAGGCTCCAAAGGTAGCAGCATAGATGGTGGTTTAGAAACTGGCGTTACGTCTGGGTTGGCTGGAGGATACCAAAAATGATACGCATGATTTGATTTTATAAGATTTGTTCTAGAGTTCGTCACCTCTACTTGAGAAACCTACTAGGTAGTCCCTACTAAGAGAATCTCAATTGTTGGTGTTCCATCTATTCCGGGAAGCCGATTAGCGATATCCAATTTATTACCATGTAGGGGGACAGCATACTTATGACCACAGTCGCAGGTGTAGAAGATAGTGCTACCTTCATCAGCACTACGTAGCTGTACTGCTGAGTACTTGACTTCGGTACGCCCGCATTTATCGCACGTTTCGTTAACAACGGCTTCCGTTTGGATTTTGTGTCGCTCGACCGATTGCACGATGGAGAGCTTTTGCCGAAGCACAGAAGGGAAATCCGAGGGCTTACTCTGGGTGACGGTCGTCTTCGATGCCGTATCTATTGGCCATTGCATTAGAAAGTTACACCGGCTAATCATGGAAAAAATCATGTAATGCTGGTTATCTCGCAGCTATGACGAACCTCTGTTTTCGGCGCCGCAGCATTCGCAATGTAAGATATTTTTGACATTGCCTTTAGAGACGGGGAGTAGGTTCCCGCAGTCGGTACAGAAAACTAGAGAGCCAATAGCAGCCATTTTCAAGCTAGAGGGGTCGTCGACTGTTTCCAATGAGGTCGTGGTGGTGTTGCAAGTAAGATAAGAAACTGGATTAGATTTCCAGAGTAGGAGGTATTCTTGTAAGAAAAATTGTATTAAAAATGTACCTAAACTACCTACCTAATAATTCATTGCAGCTCCATGCCGAGAAATCTAAGATTGTTGCACTAGTTATCGATAAGATAATAAATTATGGTTTAACATACAGAATGTATGTACGTACATTATGTACATTAGGTAGGTACGCAGGTACATAGGTAGGTAGGTACCTGAACGGAATGCGTAGGCATGGTAAGGCGTGGCAGGTTCCCCGGTTTTGGGTAGGTACCTAACCTAGGCAATGTCCCGTCGCAGCCTTGAAACCCGCTCTTTAAACCGATCAATCAAATTACCTAAAACTTCCCCGAGTTACGCAAGGCTGTGCTATCAGGCTGTTCGTTCGCGTCCAGCTAACATTTTCAACATCAAATCCTCGCCGCTTCTTCTCATATTTACTTCCTAACCAACAACCCTCATCGTTATCGCGTCGACTTTCGAGATCGCAATTCAACTTGTTTCATGGTACTACGAATGGAACGACCTACACTTTTACCCTGTTTTTCACGGTAAGGACGATACTGCAATGAGTTGATAGCATAACGGCTTCGACGCAGCGGGAAACCGAGTAGCTTGGCCGTCGTGGATAATACGAGTAAGGTATCGATAGAGCGATCATGGCGAACCCGTATCATGGTGACCAGAATGGCATGGTGCCTCATTTCGACCAACAAGCCTATCCGCAAGCCAGTCCCGATGTCCTACAGCGACATAATGGTTCGAAACCCTTCACGTTGAACGAGGCCCTTCCTTATACCCCATTCACCTCGGTCTTTCCTTTTGAACCAGGTGAGTCAGCCCCTGAAGTCGCTCCTTCCTTCTCTATTTCTGTAGTGTTTTGCGCGCACAAATTTCAAAGTTTTCTCCGCGTGACTTGAACCTAACGAGAACTTAAAATGTCAAAAAGATATTATCAGCAATCCTACAATTGGATCCGGCCCTTTCGCACCGTCGCTTACCCGCCTGGTCTCGAGAGAGGATTACGATGCCTTGAATCAGGAAGCCGAGAATCCTGGCCATTCTAAACGTGTCGAGGGAAGCCTTGAATTTGTGCAGAACCTTCTCAAGGCCGATAAGATCACGAAATTGTGAGTATTTCCATCGCTATCTACTCGCAATGATGGTTTCCAAGCTACGCGTAGCTAGCCGTGATAACTAATATCACTACAGTCAATTTAAGTCTGCGCCGAAAGCTACCTCTCTAGTTAAGCGATCGTCCCAAAGTCTTGCCAATGGCATGTCCCCCTTTGCGAAGATGGTTTATGATAACACGTCTATATCCTTCCACTGCTCTGCTACTGAACCCCCCAACATCTCAACACCCAATGGCCACAGTATGTCGCCACGGATCGCGAAGAAATCGCCCAAGGCGCGTAGACAAGAACCACCTAAGGTTGTTAAGCACAATCCTGCTACTTTAAATGCGCAGGCGGTTGCTCATAATAAATCTCGGATCGAGGTCCATCTTCCTACGCGAAAGGAATTAGACGCAGCTGCGTCTATGTATACATCAACAAGACCGCCTGGTCCGTCTCCCTCCCCTGCAATGCCAGCTCAGTCCCAGACAGTTTCACCTGCGGATTTAGTGGTGACGCCAAAGACACCAGCTCTATCGGCCTCGCAAGTCCCACGGGTGGCTTCTCCATCAGTAACCAAAGTGAAATCCGAAACACCCCAGCCGACACATGCCGCTCTGGAAACCTCCGAACCGCTGGGAGTTTCTAGACATTCATCTTATGTAACGGGCCAAAGCCTACCCAGTTCGTCATCAAGCTCCTCTAAACAGGGTAAAATTAGTATTGAAATACCCGCAGCGAGCTTCAATAAAAACGAGTTTGCCGTGGTTCCTGATTCGCCTGATACCCCTGCGCACCTCTCAACGAAAAGGAAGCTTACTTCTCATGAAGAATTTGAAGATCCTCTCGGGGGTGAGCTCAACCAGCGTGAACTCGCTAATGCCGCATTTGCAGACTTGCGAAGATGCTTCCAAGAGATATTTACTGCCGAGGATCACCTGTCAAATCAGTACGCATCACATTTAGTAATATTGACGAATGAGCAGGAACCTACTATGACGATAGCTGCGCATGATAAAGCTCAAAGGCAGATAAATAGAGCCATTGATCTTGGATGTTTCCGCCAGGCACCTCTAGATGACCTTCTCCGAATCCAAAGTTTAAGCGAGGGTTCTTTGAAGCATGCCGATACGCTTGAATTCAAACTAGATGAGACATGGGGTGAAACCGATGTTGGCTTTTGGGTTCAGCAGCTTCACGATATCGAAATGGGCCTTAAAGCTGCTCGTACAGCGTTTCGCATTATGTGTGGCGGTCGAGAGGAAAAGCAACTGTACTCCGAAGATTTGATTCAACAAGGCCTGAATCTATTCAGAAATGTCATAGAAGATATAATCATCCCCACGGCTGAGCTACGGAGCACCGGTTCAACGGGCAATTTATTTCGCCTCCTTGCGATACATAAGAAGGCCATTAGTACTCTATTCACAACCTGCCAAAAGGTCTTTTCCCTAATGTCAGACCTAATAGCTAGCATTGACCTCTCCGAAACCGTCGTGCATACTCTTGAGTTCGTGGCATCGCGTCTCATTTTCGTTGAGAACGCGCATACAGAGAAAGATTCGGTCGTCGGTGTCCAAAAGTTTGACACGCTTCGCTTGGTAGCTATGAATGTTCTATCGCAGATATTTCTCATGAACCCCCCCCAGAGGGAAGGCATCTTCAATGAAATTCTGACGTCCCTTGAGAAGCTGCCTATCGGTAAGCAAAGTGCAAGGCAATTCAAACTTTCGGAAGGAAAAAGTATCCAGCCTGTCTCAGCACTGATCATGCGACTAATCCAAGCAAGTGCCGGGAAGGTGGATGATCGCAAAGAGAGGCTTCGCGGCCGGATGATGCAAACCATAGCAGAAGATGACGAGGATAGCGACCCCATCTCTTCTGCTGAAGGTATCAATGGGAAGGCCGAGGCTATATATACGATCAAGACGGAAGCATCTGCAGCGGTTCAGCACTCGACAGCTATTCAGGAGCTTCAAGCTCTTGCAAAACCTCTTACCGATGGCGCTTACCGCAATGCTACGTATGTCGTCAACTTCATTGTGAAACGGGCACTAAAATCGACCAAGTCCGGAGATACCCCGTATCGCAATTTACTAGATCTGTTTATAGAAGACTTCACTACATGCCTAGATTCCCCGGATTGGCCCGCGGCAGAGCTTTTGCTTCGGCTTACGATGTACATTATGTTCCAGCAGATGGACGGCGATAAAAATGCGGCGCCGGCAAGGAACATGGCATTAGAACTCCTTGGCGTTATGGCTGCGGCCGTAACAAGGCTACGATCCCACGTCAGGAAGACTGCCACCAATTTTGAAGGCAGTGACTCGGACGAACTCGGACGGTGGCTTGCTGATCTGGCTCTAAATGTCCTGGAGGGTAACAAGTCGATGGAAAAGACAGTCAGTTGGCTAGGGCCGTATCGTGTTGTCTTAGAATACCTGCAAGATCGTCTAAGCGACGACCCCTACCTTAAAGGAGCTATATCATATCTGATAACGGACTGGGGATCACAAGCCAGCCTTGGGTACGATTCTGCCGAAGGTGAAGATTCGGAGGAACGAGACCGTGAGTTTGGGAGGATTGCATTTCGCCTCCGTAATATGATTGAGGATCCGAAATGGCTCTCCCGGGAGTACAGTTTCAAGTCCGTGATCTCTAATCACGCAAAGCTCTCCTACTCGATCATCTTGCTCAGATCGAGTTTCTGTGCATCATTCAAAAACATTCTGAACATACTCATGGGATCCATGACTACAGATCAGGCAACCGTGCGCAGCCGTAGTCTCAAGAGTATTAACCACGTTCTTGAAACTGATCCTACTATTCTTGACGGCGACAGCGCTTTCATCGAGCTCATTCTCCAATGCTCTAACGATTCTTCACCTCAAGTGCGCGACTCAGCTCTTGGCCTTATAGGAAAGTGCATGAGCATGCGCCCTAGGTTGGAGGAGAGGATGACATCAACGGTAATACAACGATTCCTCGATTCTGGCATCGGCGTGCGGAAGCGGGCAATGAAGCTGGCCAAGGACATCTACTTAGGGAACGACAGCAAGGCAGTTCGGAGCAGTATTGCGAATGGATTATTACACCGTACGCAAGATCCAGATGAGGGTGTACGAGAGCTCGCCAAGCAGATGATAGAAGAAGTTTGGATTTCGCCTTTCTATAAGGAGGACGACTCGGTAGCTTTCAAGCAATCTCTCACCGAGCATGTCGCTCTCATGCTCCAGACTGTTAAACATGGAAATACCGCACTCGTTCTCGATAAGCTCTTCCAGACGATACTATCACCCAACTCTAAACTTGTCGAAGCTAATGTCAGAGTTTGTACAAGACTTGTTGCAAACTTGGTTGACCTTATCAACAACCCTGAATCGGATGATCCATCAATTCCATCTAGTAGAGACGCCTTCCAGGTTCTCGTGATATTCGCAAAAGCGGACCCGAAACTGTTTACCTTTGAGCAGATCCGACAATTAGAGCCTCATATCGCTAGTGTTAGTACTAGTGAAGATCTAGCAGTTTCGAGAGCCGTTGTTGTCATATATCGCCGTGTACTACCACAGGTATCCAGCGTGCATTCGAAATTCCTCTCCGATGTTCGCAAGGTTCTTATGCCTGCTACCTCTAAAGTCACCAGAGCACTCCTTGACGATGTTGTGGCTTGTATATGGATCATCAGTGAACTTCTCCAGTCGTCCGAAAACCTCGCACGTCTCGTGCTGTCATGCCTTAAAGGTATCCAACTAATAAATAAGAAGGGACCACTTGACAAAACGAAGATCAGACAGTTTGACCGATATTCTCTTATCGTTGGGATGATCGGTAAACATTGCAACCTAGATAGCCACGAGGACCGTTTCAAGTCCGATTCTAATCTACCAAAGTGGAAAGGCTCCGTGTCGAAACTCATGGTAGACGTTCTCGTCCCTTTTGCAAACCCCTCTCAGCCAGCGGATGTGAGACGACCAGCATTAGATGCTATTGGGCTAATCTGCCAGACCAACCCTAGGAACTATGTTGCCGCTAATGTCTATACAACATTCCAACAGGCCTTCGACGAGCATATCCCTGTTTTAGAGTCAATGGTTCTCCGATCTTTCAAGGAATTTCTCCTAATAGAGGAACAACGGTCTGAGCAAGCGGCCTCATCAGCAGCTACCGGCAAGGAGTCCGTTAAGAAAGACTTAAAGGTTATGGGTAGTACTAGCTTTGATGATGTGGCAAGCGCGACCACACAGCGGTTCCTCAAGGACATTACTCGCATTACTCTATCGACCTATGATGACCACGCCTTCCTAGCTATGGAAGTACTGGCAAGTATTAATCGGCAAGGTTTAGTGCACCCGAAGGAGACTGGCGTTACCCTCATTACACTTGAGACTTGCCCAGTGCCTAAAATTTCAGAGCTTGCATACCACGAGCACAGAGCGCTTCACGAAAAATACGAGAGCGTGCTTGAAAGGGAGTATGCAAAAGCCATACACTCAGCCTTCCAGTACCAACGTGATGTCGTCAGGGATCCGCGAGGTGCGACCAAGGAATCGTTTACGTCAAAACTCCATCTTCTCACCGAAGTACTGAAGATCAGCAAATCCAAGAGTCGCGTTAAATTCCTTGAGAAGCTTGTTGGACAAGTCGATTTTGATCCATCAAAGCTTCCCAAAAATCAGGCACTGTCACCGCACGTCGAGTTCTCCCGCTTTATAATTGAGAACATTGCTTTCTTCGAGTTCGTCACTGTCGGCGAGCTGCAGGCTACAATTACTGCCATGGAGAAGATGGTAACTGTAATAGGATCTGGTATTGCCCAAGCTATCGAGTCCGAAATCTTCCAGGTACGCATGGACCAAGCTTCTCTCCCCCAGGAACCTGTTAGTGGTGGGGAACAGCCGGCGGCCCCTGTGCCACCTCCTGTTGATCAACAGCGACTTTGCCAGTTAGCAGCTGGCTCGACTATCCTCCTTCTTCTTTGGGAGGTACGTACTCATCTACGCCGATTATACGGGCTGAGCCCCAATCGACGTGAGAATAATAAAGGGAAGAGTGTCCCGAAAGATCTTACTAAAACCCCAATCAAAGCCCAAGGGATTACCGGGGATAAAGTCTGGGATGACCTCTCCACAATCATGTCTAGATTGGATACGCCGGAACGCATGATGGAGCAGTGCAGGGCGTTTGTGGAACTTCTAAACGTCGACAGCGAAGTCAAAGTCCCGGATGAAGAAGAGGAATTTGACCTTGAGGGTGAGTCAATACTTACGGATGCCGAAGGTGACGAAGACGCGGTCGATGTTGACCCTCGCGGTCGAAAGAGAAAGGCAGGAGCCGCTCCTGGAGGACGAAAGAAGCGAGTACGGTCCAATTCAAAGCCTAGGCCCCGAGGCCGACCCAGAAAACAGAGTATGGAGGCAGTGGAGGCAGACTTAGGCACTGAAATGGAATGGATTTCATAAAGATCATTGACCCCGGAGTTTCCCATGGTATAAACATAATTTTCAATTCTCTATTATACCCTCGTAACTATACATATTCACGGACAACCACCCCCGCATACACAAAGGGATAGAGGGTGGGAAGTGCGGCATTACCGCACAGCATAAAGGGTACATTTATGAGCATGAAAACCGGCGTTTAGAGAGCGAGAAAAGGGGGGTATCCGATTCATGGTATCCAGAATTTCTGAGGATTCTTTTTTTTTTTTTTTTTCAAACGTGCTGATGCCGAGCAAAGGAAGGGGAGGTGCGATTAACGAGGACGAGCTGTTCAGATCTGCTTTTTCTTTTCTTTTGACAATGATACCTTTGATCTGCTTCCTGTACCAGAACATGTGGTGGGCAATTGCCTGCTTGGAGGTTCCTTAGTGTGCTAGCCAGCTATATACCCGCTTCAGATATCTTGGACGCAGAAAGCCCTGGGTGAATAGAGGCTTTGCCCATCTCTAAACATATAAGTTTGCCATTTTTTGTTTGCTTGACATGATCTAGGTATGATGAAGAAATAACGAGTAAATTTTTGTGTTTATTAGGTTCGGTTCTACCCTGGATATCACGGTAACGCATCTATGGATATCCATTCATGCCAACGCCGCACATCATATACTCCTATCCTAAGTACCTAGGTATGCAACCTCGACGAAGACGTATCCCCTATTTCGTTTCACCTCGTAACTTATTCTCTCTAACCGACGTGAACATAACCCCCCGTAGATTAACCCAGCCTGAAATCATGCTTTAGGTACTTACCGGAGCCTCGCGCCCCTATTATTTATTATATTGCTATCCAGCCAATACATTCCGTACCATATGCCCCATATCCCAAATATGTACATCTATCACTACGTCAAAGGCTCTTCGACCTGAGACCAGGCATCCTCGTCAATCTCATCGCTGTCATCAGATTCATATCCGTCGCTATCGTCTCTATCCAAGGTCGCCGTTGACCCTGCCGTGCTCGCTGCCGGTGTGAATGAGATGCGGCTGTCCGATGTAGATACAGATGTACCGTCGTGGACGGTGCTGGGTCCCATATTTGACGGCACGGCGTTTACGGACCGTCCGGCGGTTAAGGTGGCGGTACTGGCTTCGCTGGGCGTCTTGTCGGATTGGCAGATGCTCGAAGTATCTGTCGCTACTGTATTACCCGTGCGGTAGGCTGGTCCGGGGCCGATTGGGCCCAAATCAGCGTCTGGGACGGTGGATTGAAAAACGCCGCCGCTCCCGTCGTTGAGTCCGCCGGCCCAAAGGGGGAGATACTGGAACTCGTCTTCCGATAGTGATAGGACGATGTGTTGCGTTCTAGTGAGTGACACTTCCAAATCGGGGCTTGTCCAGGCAGTCCATAAGTTTGTTACAGCAACGTGAAGCTCGATGCGAAAGTTCTCCAGGTGGAACCTGGTCGCTACTTTATTAGAGCTACCTCGATGGGGGAGGTAGGGTGTCGCTTTGATTAGTCTGTCGTTGAAATCGTCCACGTATGGAGTCAGAAAATCGACGAGATAGCATGGCCCCAGGTAGTCGACAGGATATGAAGCCAGATAAACCCAAAACCACGGGGTTAGAAGATGTTGGGCATCGGTGAAATTGCTGGCGATAATGGAAGTAGGAATTCGTCTTGGATGTTCCACATAACATCGGCGATCGCGATCGTAGGCGCTTTGCTGGTCATACTCAGCTACGGCATGTGTTGCCGTCTGTATTATATAATCCTTATATTCTTGTAGCTTTGTATAAAGGGTGGAGAACGAATCAAGTAGTCTATCTAGTAGTTTATCGCGTTTGGAATCTGTCTTCAAGATTGACTGGACGCTGCTAGGGCTTGAGCCGGTAGAAATGGCCGTGCGAATGATGTCGCCGGCTTCTACGAACTTTCGATATTCCGATATTTCAAACACCTCATAGAACTGATCTGATCTAAACTTTGCAAGTGTCTGGTGAACACGATCGGCAAGTTTTTGTGCTGCATATTGAATAACGGTCTGCAGATCGTCAGGTAGATCTACACGAGGGCGACCGAAAATTGTATACTGATTTTTTTCCGCCGGGGGTTGAGCAGCAAGAGTATCCAGGGCCTTCTCAACGACGAGGATGCGAAACGCGGCTCGGGTGATACTATCTATTTCCAACGTCCACGCGATTTTAAACGCAACTTCGGCATTGATATCAATAAACTCGGTGTTGGGTTCTGCTAAAAGCCAAGTATACACGGAGTCTCGCTATAATTAGCAAAATTAGTAACATAATATTCTAATGTTACATTTCCACTCACAATAACACGTGTGCAATCTAGTATGCTGGCAATACTTGTGAGCGTATAGACACGAGATGCCGAATTCAAGACTAGATCATAACCCTCTATCGCCAAAAGGAGACGAACGATGTTGACGCGATGACGGATAGGGCAGTAGTCGTCAATAGTCCTGGATTTTATCGTTTCGATGTCAACTAGGTCGATTGTTGGAAGACGTTCTCTGAGTCCCAATTCCTGTTCTATGTATGCCGACTTATTTACACAGTCTATAGGAACTTCGTCGTGATGGGGACAGTGATCATCGTGTCCCGAAACTAGATATGGCGATATACCAAGTCTCTCCTTTGACGTCCACCAATCGGTAACGCCAGGAGGTAAAGACAAGCCTATGAGCTGGGCAGCTAGGTCGTCTCCCTCAGCCGAAGGAGTGAGATCAATAATGAATTTCTGTAGAAGAATTTCACCAGCAAGTTCCAGTCTCTTCCGGAAGCGGGCTTGTTTCTTGGACGACAATAAATTTGCGAAGACCTTAGAACCAGTAGCAAGGAGCTTCTCTGAATGGACGCAAAAGCGTTTTGAGATCCACTATAACGGAAGCTGATTAGTTACACTGAGAAGAGACCAAATACTTCAGACCCCTATTTGATCTATAGCGTTAGAAATTGACCTACCTCTTCCCTCGCACAACTTAAATAACCTGAAGGGAAGTCAACGATAACTAGAGTATCCCCATCATTACATTCAACGTGAACGTGTAGAAGCCTAATGAGATCTGACTTCTCTCGAGACTTGGAAATGTAGTTAACGTCATCTTCGCTGGGTTGGTCTTTTAACAACTGGTCGATTGCCGCATCAATTAAAGAGCCACGAGGAGCAGGAGTAGGATCTGATAGAGGAGGAGGAGGATCTTGAGACTCTGCCCTTTGCTGAGCTAGTTGTTGTGAGAGCATGATTACTCGGAGGGTAAGGCTCTGAAGCCAGTGATATGGATAGATAGAGTAAGTCGGCCGCAGTACTTATTATAATGACAAGAGGTAAAGTAAGGAAGGGTTACTTAGATGACTACCTCCCAAAGGATGTGGAGGAGGATTTAGTAAATAAAAGTAGAAAGTAGAAAGTAGAAAGTAGAAAAATATTAAGTATAAGGCTGTGGTTGCCTCCTTTGATATTCTGACTAACATGGAACTGCCTGCTTATATGCAAGCTTCCATGCTGCACGCGGGAAGCATGGATTATGTATATTTAGGATGTATAGGTACATCTAAGCTACGTACATATACCTAGATAGGTATGATAAAAGTAAAATTGCAAGTAGCAAACCGTACATGTATAAGTACTGTTACATCTCCAATTACGCCGCTACAGGTAGAAGCCACATAAATTCATGTTCTATGTACATGTATCTAGTGTATATCCTTATTGGTCGGTATCGCGCAGACAAGGCAGGCGATGAAAATCAACAATAAGCCTTACGAGACAGTGTAAGCGAAACCAAGTCTATACCGTGAGATTCCAAGCACTATCAATCAAGACGGCCATGTGTTTTCCATTGCCAGCTAGCTGATTTGTTTATACACATAGTTTCAAGTTGACTTAGCTAACTACCTATATTTATGCCTAGTCAGGGGCTTATAATTGTGAGACTTGACAGGTCATCAACATTGGTAGCTTGCATACTAGGTAGCTACTAAACTAGGTAACCGGTGAGCTAACAACATAACATATGTACAATACAATAGGTACCTACATCGAGTACTATACGCTAAGTACTGCAGATCAGAAATAAATGATTAGGTTAGTCGGATCTTGAAAAGTTATCGCCTCTTGGTATTAATGATAAACCCATTCCCCGCATTTTAGTTTACCGTTCTCGCCCCTCCTAACCTCCCCTAATGCCCTAATGCACACCTACATACAAAGTCACCTACATACAAAGTTTACCAAGGCTCCAAGGGCGTTAAGCGTATCTTAGTGCGCCTCTCCTAAGCTTTCCGGAAATCCTCCCGATAAGGTGTTACCCCATTTCGCTCGCGTGCCCCTTATCCCGAACCGGTCAAGCGTAGGGCAAACCCGCCCGTTTCCAGCTTCGCCAGCTTCCCTTAATTTTTTCGTTTCCCACCAAGATCGCACCACCGAACCTCATCAGCGTCTGCCCACCCTACCCGAAAATCTGGGGAATCTAGACCCTTGTATGACATAAAACTGGAGAATATCTTATCAATTAGGCCCCCCCGTCGGTATGTAGCGGTCAGTAGAGCATGCTCTCTAATAACTTGCATACATAAATCCGCCCGTCTGCCCGGCGATCCTCTTCTAAGTGGCTTCGTTTCTTGCACTCGCTACCTACCTATGTATAAAGCTGTCCTGCTACCAATATAATAATCCAAGGCTTTGCTTCCCTCATCTAAGAGCTTCAACCATTGAAACGTTCTATAAACAAATCTAAAATTATCAAACACCGAGCTCAAGCACTCTCCCAACCCAGAAAACATGGACCGCACCCGCGCAGCCAGAATGACCGCCGGAGGACCTCTGTAAGTACACCAAATCCCACAATTAGCACGTACACACCTACATACCTGCGTGAGAGTCCACCAGACTAACCCCCAATCCCAACCAGGTCCCGACACCCCGGCCTAGCCCTCGCCGCCGTCGCAACAGCCGGCATAGCAGTCGCCGTCCAGTACCGGCGATCCGTTCTAACGCGCAACGAGAAGGCCCAGAAGAACTCGCCCGAGCACCCCAACTTCTACGTCAGCGTCGACCGGAGCGGCGGCGGCATCTGAAGCTTCAGGGGGGCGAAAGTATAATCTTTAGTAACTTAAACCTAAGATATATTTAGAGAGGAGCAAGCAATTTCTCGTACCTCGTCGGACGACACGAGAATGCTGGCTGGGTTAATTGGGAATTTCATGACACAGTTGGGATTTATCACGACCAAGGGCTAGACACACCTCACCATTAAGACGAGTATGCGTACATTATAATGGGGTAACGTAACGGCAGGCGTTTTCTGTTTCTTATTACCCATAACTACCTAGACATAAAGCATAAAATCAAAAACAATGTTAAACAAATGCAAATAAGTCTTATGAATAGTAGCCAGCTCTGATAAGCTGTCTTATGCACAATCCACTTCTGCGTGATAATACATGTAAGTCGTCATACGGCATGTCACATCGCATGCCAGATCAGTCATAGCTGATAGGTATATGCTCAACCACCATTCCCACCCCTTCTTTCCCTCCTGGTATCGTACCAAAAACTCAGGCCTTTTGCTTACCGTTGCCTTCTGAGCCCAAGGCAAACCAAAACGCCAAAATGCATGATTTATGAGTCGGCCTCACAAAATAGAAGGGCCCTGGCAGAATCTACCTAGAACGCCGCTTATACGGAGTTTCCCCTCTTAAACCATTCCGTCACCGACTCGGCCTCCAGCTCGCCAGCGCTTGTTGTCCCCGCGACTTCCTTCCCTTTCCCCTTGAACGGACGACTCATTGGAATGACCGTCTCCAAACCATCCTTTTGTTCCCTATTACTTGCTGGTCGACTTCCCTCACTCTTGCTCTTTATCCCTGATTTTCTCTTGCTGCTCGATGGCCTTTCGCCGCTTGTACCAGTTCTCCAACCGCCCTCGTCGTCTGAATTCTGTGCCGTGGGTACTGTACTTCGCGCTCGAATCTCCTTCATAGCATCCGCGAAGTTCTCCTCAAGGTTCTTCATCCTGGCTAGAATTAATCGGCTGATTCTATCTGAATCCTCGCGCTCTTGGCTGCTTTGGTTCAGAGCCTTCAGCTGGCCAGTGGCCATAGCCATTTGTGTTGCGAATGACGATGGCACGGCACCAAATTCATTGGTCGCATCCAACCCTATGTCAGAACTAATGCCTCCGTCAACAGACGAAAGACGTCGGTTTCTCGGGGCGGCATTGTGAAGGATAGAGCGATTAGGTGCCGATCTTGCAGGAATCGGTCTCGGCCGAGTTGCCAGGGGCGGCCTATTTTGCGTCCTCCGTGGCGAACGTGTGCCACTTGGTACGGATGACTCTGCCGCTGTGGCCAGTCGGCTGGTTCGTAGGTGGGAGCTCACACCCAATGGCTCTTCCGAGACCAAGGATGGACTTGTTTCGAAGTGACTAGGTCCCTGTGGAGCGTAAAGGATTGTATTTGTGGAAAGTGTGCGGCTGTGGAGGCCTTGGCGACGAGTTGTATTGCTAGTTCTAGGTGATGTGACGGCCATGCTCTGCTGGTGTGAGGAAGAACCCAGAGACGATGGAACTAAAACCTCACGTCTCAAGTCTAGAGAGGACGTGAAATAGTCTTCACGTTCTCGTGGAGTAGCATTGCTGCTACGGCGGCTCGCATTTACCATATCATCTTCTTCCTCATCGTTCGTTACGAATTCATCGTCGCCATCTGCTTCCGTCTGGTCCCTATATCGTGCCTGTTGTTCGTCAATTTGACCGTTGAGTTCCCTGACATTAGAGCCAGGAAAGCCGCTATTCGACACAAGGTCGGCAGGGTCACTTGCAGCCGATCGAATGTCGGAGACGTGCCTAGACCTCTTAGGAAAATCACGGCCCATGCTCATTCGTCGTTGAGAAAGGCTCCGACGACTGTCAATCGTAGGCCAATGAGAGAGACACTCACCAATCTCATCATTTTGTTCCATCCAATTGCGAATAGCTGTCTGCGTCTTCCTCCTTTCTTGTCTTCTCTGGCTGCGTATCGTGCCGGCATCAGGAAGTCGACGGAAGACTTCTTCCAGAGCACGGTCTTTTTGAAACCCAGCAATCGATTCCTCACGTGTCTTCATGCTTGGGCTAAAAAGGGCCGTCCCCCTACTAGCAAGGTCGGTGAATGATATTCCTCTTGTCTTACGACGCCCTTGATGCTCGACCAGATCCGTTGGCTCGTAAATCGACGGGGCGAGAAAGTATTTCTCATAAATGAATATGCAAAATAGAAGAGGAAAATGGGTCAATTTAATGACCGTGCGGTTCAAAATCACAAACTGTCTTATGGACATTAGGTATCGTAATGGTGTCAAGATCCAAGCGAGGATATTGCTTGGTGCAACGTAAGAGAACATTGCATCGTTCTTGACCATGGATATAGTATTGATCGCGAACAAGAACCTAGGCAGGTGTAAGTAAAACTAAAAAATTAGGCCGGAGATAATCACGTACTGGTGCTCCTCATTCGCATTCGATACGATTGCCGTGAATGAGTTTGTAAGTACGGTAATCAGTATTGTACTATCCCATGTTAGAATTGCAGGGCCTCTGTGCTAAGAACAGACTTACACGACGAGGAAATGGCATATAATGAGGAAAGCCGCTAGTAGCGTCTTGCCTAAGAAAGTATACTCTGGCCATCTAAAAATCTTGGTTAGCTGATATTATCTCGAAGAACCCGAGGTGTTTCTGGACGTACACATCCCACGCAGCCGGCGTGAACCCCATGAGAATTTGGAAGATCTTATAGGCAACCTCCGGTGCGGCGTTTTGGTTGCTAGAGAGTGTAAAGAACACGAAGAACCCAGAACAACTGATTAGGACAAGAATGAAGACAGCCGCAAGATCCACCGCCATGAGCCGAAAGGCAATCAGGAGCTGAGAAAAGTATCGATAGTGATCTAACACACTAAAGATACGTGGCAACAAGAGTATGGCGTTCGCTGCCAGAACATCATATGCCATCTCATTCCAACGATGGGGGTCAACGACAAACACAGCATATACTCTCAAACAGTAATATACGATGAGTAGCAGTAGAATGCCGAGATCAAAAATATTCCAGAAGCTCATGATATACAAGGAAAACCCTTGCTCGTTGAAACCAACGACTTCATCAAGCATGAAACCCGCACTCCAAAACCAGAAAACCAATTCTAGTTCAGTAATGCGACTAGAGCGTTCTATTAGGACCGCTAAAAATAGACATATTAGGGCAAATAAGGAGCATGTTGATAGGAACTGTCTATAGCGAGGAACGCGGAGGCGAGATAACTTCAAAGGAGAAGCTTGGCGTGGGTCGTACAGATTTACCGTTCGTCGTACAGGTATTTGATGTAGCGGTAATTGAGATAGCTGTTCTTTAGGAATTTGGTGGCTGAGGAGCGGTGTTCGAACTCCTGCTAGGCCGCTTTGGGCATTTCCACT